ATTGAAGTGCTCTGATTATTATTATTCGTGTAGATCTAGTTTTCTCATTTGTCTACGTGCCTGTTTTGCGCAAACAAGACAGATAGTTAAAATAGATAGCTATAGAATATCTTCCGCAAGTAAGAATACGCGAAGACTCTGTTGTTGTTGTTACTGTTGTTGTTGTTGTTGTTTTTATTGTTGCTGTATTTGCCGGTATATGCCAATCTCAGCGGTGTTGTACAGAATACAAATGATAGAAGTTTGTTGTCCCAGAATCGTAGTAAAAAAGGAAGGGATATCTAGGACAACTGTTTTCTTTGTTTTTTAAGTCTATGCAAAGAAAAAAGAGATGATGAAGGAGAAGAAGAAGAGACAACTGGAAAGCGAGGAGACAGAGAGAGAGAGAGAGAGAGAAAGAAAGAGAAGAAAGACATTCGTTCCGGAGAATGACAGGAGACGGTAAAGACGGTAGCTCGTACAGCGTGTCGTCGAAAGCGTTTCTCTTTTCTCTCGTATTCCCTTTCTCTATAAATGTGAGAAGACTCATCTAGTCGAGAACAGTAGAAAAAAATTGATTCATAGATGCGATTTTCTCAAATGATTTCTCAGAGAAATTGACTATTGTGCTCCCGTTTTATTTTCAGAGTGTTTCTTTTCTCATTTCTAATCAAACCGAAATCGAAATGAAAATGGCATCGTCGTATTCTACTAATACAGATGACATTCATTCACGAACAACCAATACAGCTGTTCCAAGTAATCGAAATCCCCGCTCTAGCCGTGTCTCCATCTCTTCAAATAAACGTTCGTCAGTCAATAAAGCTGGAACAAATTCAGCTAAATTTAATCATGGAATGTTCCGTCGTGCTGTACCTCAAATGCCACGTGTTTTAGCTATTATTTGTTTTGTACTCAATCTCGTTCTGCCAGGCACAGGTACGTACGTATTTAATTTGAAGATAGAGCTTCATTGTTGAGAAAAGAGCACGCGACACTCTGCTGATTGGCTCCTATTGTCTGATCATGCGCTTTAAGTTTCCATTACTTTCTCGTCTTCTTACTTTTCGATCATGATTATCAACATAAGCACGCGTGCCTGGTGTCGCTATTTCATCAACATAGCTACCATACTGATTTAGTTGACATGCGGACAGGTTTCCTTGAATTTAATTGTTTGTTATTATTGTTATGGTAGCTCTTCCTCACACAATATTTAATCCGACCTTTACGAACNATTGTCTGATCATGCGCTTTAAGTTTCCATTACTTTCTCGTCTTCTTACTTTTCGATCATGATTATCAACATAAGCACGCGTGCCTGGTGTCGCTATTTCATCAACATAGCTACCATACTGATTTAGTTGACATGCGGACAGGTTTCCTTGAATTTAATTGTTTGTTATTATTGTTATGGTAGCTCTTCCTCACACAATATTTAATCCGACCTTTACGAACGCAGCCATAGCAAGAATATCAATACATGTTGATTGAAAGTTATCGGAGAGAAGCGACAAAACAGACACAAGGTATAGCTGCGTGCCAGAATAGGAGAGATACACATGTGTGCCAATGATTGGTATATGTCAAATACCCTGGTGACAAAGTCTCGCTGTGTATTGATAAATGATAAATAAGTCCATTCATAAAATCGCCAGACATTTACCAATTGTTTTTTTATGTCATGTTGAGCTTCAGAACATTTAGATTTACCGAAGTTGTCTTCTTTCTCTCGAATCGCAAGTAATCTTAGACAATTCAGAGTGCTTTTACTTGACGATCATGTATCACAGATTAGAATAGTGTAGTAGATACATAAGAACGTAAGCATTCTCAAGTGAATAAACATTAGTATCATCAAATTACATTGTCACGGCAATAGTTGATAATAAAAACAAGCAACTCAACAACAAGAAATAAATGTCTTGTCAGCAAATTGATTATCGAAAGAAAACACATCTCTCTATCTCTTCATTCTTAGCGTGGGTATTCTTTCTATTTTAGGGACATTAATTAGTGCCTTTGCAGTATTCTGTTGCGGTAAACATGCTTATGAAAAGAATATCGTTGCGTGTCTGTATAATCTCCTGGCAGCTATTCTGCAAAGTGCCACAATATTTCTACTCGTTGGATGGATTTGGTCAGTCCGATGGGGTATACTATTTGTTCAATTATCAGGTAAATCTAATAGATCGATCGAAAAACGAGATTTGTACGCGGTCACAAACATTGTCGTGGGAAGATCTAATAAAAACAACGTTCGTGACATTGTTCATAGAAGAAAATAATGACAGATGCGTGAACGAGGGGAGAAAAGTAATTGAAATATGCCTGAACAAATAACAGAAATATAGATAGAATAAATGATGAGATTAACTCATTGTAAAAAAAAGAAAACGCGAATTTTTGATTCTATTAGTGAGACTGAAATGTTATTGTTATTCTTCATCTTCAACTTGCATTGACACGAAGAGAGAGAAAAGCTATGTTTAGACCAATTACGAACTCTATTTCGAAGAAGAGTGTCACTCAATTAGATACTCTTGCCGAGTTCGTCAGACGACCTTGTCATCTATTTGATAACAGTATATTAGATCAATACATACATACTCGAAACTCGATTGTTTTTCACTCTTTCATACTATAAATGAGCTATTTCGATAACCGGGAAATGTCGAGTATTGACAAGAGATTGGAAAAGCAAACTAATAGTCGAAAATGTACTGGCGTGCTTTCTAAGTCTCGCATGTTTGAGAAGGTGCCGTTGATGATATTGAGAAGGATTAGATTTTCTGAGTTCATCATCATTAAATGAATAGCGTATGTGGGAAAAGAGGAACACAGCTGACCTGAAAGTAAAAAAACAATAATAGGAAATACACGATGGAGAATATTAAAATAGATTTCTATAGAAGAAAAGAAAGTGCTTGGAGTGAATAGCATTGAAATCTTTCTCGGCTTTTTAGGCAACAAAAACATGAGTACACAATCATCAACACCGTTCTATGTTCGTCGTCAATCGAGTGTTGACACACACACTCAACCATTTCTGACGCAAATGGTTGCACCACGTGTACCACCGGTACTCGAAGATACAAACGAAATGGACGCTGTGTGACTACACTCAACTCTACAAATCATCGGATTCAATCCAAATGCAAGTATACGGAGAAGTCTTTTCAACGTATTCTATTATCTCATCAACGCTGTGATAATCTTACCATATGTTTACCACTGTCATTGTTGCTAGAGAGTGTTCCAATGCACGATATCATCGATATAAACATAAATTTTTTATTTTGTGCAAAACATTTCACAGTGTAGTTTGTATCTAATAGTTTTTTTTTCGGTAAAAATCAAGCAGCGAGTTCGGATTAAATATCATTCTTAGATTTAGTTATTGATGAAAGATAAATATTGATCAAATGTAACTCTTTGTTTAAATTATTCAATACACTCTAATCAAGAGAAGTCCTTGCCAATTATATGAAGAGTTTTTCAAATACGAGAGGCGTCTCCCCTATGAATAATAGATTTCTGTACTATTAGACTTTCTCGCAAAAAAACATGCATGATTCTTGAATTAATTATCTTGCTGACAATCAATTATATAGCTTCTCTAATCTCTTGATAAGCCATACTATTGATATAAAAGTCTCAAACAATGATCCGTTCTGTGGATACATTTCCTGACTGTTTATGCTATCAACCAGTATATTGTTGATCCTTATCTTGATTTAGAGCAAATGAAGATCTTGAAGATGTGCAAAGCATTGCCGAGAGATGAGTTCCGAACAATGTGAACGCAGTCTGACTTGAGCATTTGTACGTTTTCTTCATTGCATTCTGTTCTTCCTTCAGATGCCACTCTATTCCGTTTGTTCAATGGTTGGAAGGAGAGAGCATTGCTTAGTGACACTCAAAATTATGAATTGACGTATGTGAACTTTTGTCAGCTTTATAACCATAAATGCCGATTGCTAATCTAACCAACGGAATACCAAGTGACCAGAGAATTGATCAATTTATACCTGTGATTATAAATAACTTCATCTGTTTACTTTGTGGAAACTTTTATCTTTATTGTAGCCATATGGTTATCTTTCATCAATTGATGCTTTCCCTAATTTTGATGAAAGTGTGATCAATTATTCAACTAATCAGCGCAGTCAGAAGCCGTCGTATGCATTTCATTACTTTGTATCGGGTCTAATTGATTGTTGCTGTTTTGTTTTCTGAATTGTTTAGAAATCTTATTTGTAAAATAGTACTCGTCGGAGATGTGGCTGTGGGAAAATCATGTTTAGCAACGAGGTAATCCAATTCCTACAATTCAATGAAGAATTTTCAAGGTCGAGAAAGAATATTCTAGATTATGCCACAATACATTTGATCGGAACTACAAAGCAACAATCGGAGTCGATTTCGAAGTGGAGAAATTCTTGATACTTGGTGTGCCGATGTCATTACAAATATGGGATACTGCTGGTCAGGAACGATTCAAATGTATCGCAGGTAGATCTTCTTTTCTTGAAACAGTCGATAACCATCACCTGATGCTTGTTTTTATCAATAGCTGCCTATTATCGTGGTGCTCATGCTATCATTGCTGTCTTTGACATGAATGATTTAGATACGCTGAAAAGTGCAGAACGGTGGGTGAATGAAGCATTACAGACAACAGCGAATGATAATCCATTGATATATTTAGTTGGTTCGAAACGAGATTTACTTGTAATGTCAATTGTATTGATATGCAAACGAGTTCTTTTTCGGTTTGTACTTTCAGACTGACGAGCGAACGTGCGTAAAAATTGAACAGACAGCTCGAGTAACTGCAAAGCGATTGAATGCAGAATTCTGGTCTGTATCGTCATTAACAGGTTCGTACACTTACATTCGTAGATGTTTAAGAAAAATGAATTTGTTTTCAGGACAGCGTGTTCAAGAATTCTTCAAACGTATTGCTTGTGTCTCGTATCAAATGTTAGTGAAGCAACAGTTAACTCCATTGAGTACATCTAATGAAAGAGTAATGCCGAAAACTCAGTTAGCTGTGAGTCTAACACCTATGAATGGTAAGTAAATCCAAATGAAATAATTGCATCTTTCGACCACTCTCAATGAATGTTTTTATTTGTGTAGGACAGAGTTCCAAGCAACAATCAAACGCGAATTGTTGTAGCACGAACTAGCTAGCAATATCACTCTTTTTTTGTTGTTATTCTATTCGATGTTGTTTGTATAATTCTTCGTGAAATCGATAGATGGGATTCTGAATTCACTATTTAGTTACTTGTGAAAATAAAAGACTTTTTCCAGAATAATTGATCTACATTAAAGTGCAGTTTATCTCGTAGAAGTAACAACTAATTGTACCTATTCAGACGCATGATTCAAGTTTACTCAAGTAGAAAATCGTTTTACCGGTCATAGCTTAACAAAATCCAGTCTTTTCAGTGCGCAAAAGTCAATCGGATTAGTACTGTTAATAAAACAAAGCAAAAGCTATTCTAGCCGAAAAAGTTATAGTGAATTGTATTTTAGAATACTGATTGATATTTATTATTGAAAAAGAGAAGAGAGAAAAAGTTCCAATCAAACACACGTATATCTTTCTTTCATATGCTCACTCTAACACTATGAGCTGATTAACAGCAGAATTAAGAAAAAAGAGATGATTAATGTAGACAAAGAGAAAAGAAAAGTGATAATAACAAGTCTTTACACAAGCATAGAATATATATCCGCATTCATTCTTCAATAAAATATCTCTGTATGTATGCCAAGTTCGTATGTATTGTGTAAAAGACTGAAAATACAGCAAATAGAAAATAGAGCAAAAATAGATGTAGATGCAATTATAGAAAGAAATAGAAAAAAAGTTGATGATGATGATGATATGATAGTTAACAAAGAGACACAAAAGGGAACACAAGATGATGATGATGATGACAACGAGCAATCAAATTACCGCGTGCGAAGTAATTCATTTTCCCACAAGTAGAGTATGACTGTTCATCTGCAATCATAGGATACGATTGAGATGAAAGTATTCGTTGTCATCAGCTACAAATGAGAGAAGAGAGAAAGAGAGAGAGACTTAAAAAAGAAGAAAAAAGACAGATTAAAAAAGAAAAGAGTTTTAATAGATAACGTCTAATGTTTCTTTAATGTTTGTCCGACGTAGTAATTTCCATTTTGAAAACCTCCTTGGCCACTACTTTGTTGAGTTTTCAAACAAACCGTACAGCGACTGATCTTATTGCGATGATTACCAGATTTCAATGTTTCTTGACGTGGTACTTCAAATTGATTGTTTTGATCGATAACAGTCATCCAGTAACTGAATTTATTGGCATAATACATGCAATTACCGTCTGTTCCTGAACATTCGATGAATGGTGTTGCACGGAAATCTTCAAGACATGAACCAGGGCTAGCCAATGATTGACCGCCACCTTGTGCGCCACGGCCAAGATGCTGTAATGAAGAAAAAACATCACTTGACATTTGCTCCGAGGACAACATTGGCTCATCTCATTTATCTTCTAACTGAGCATACACACTTACCATGACGAAACTGTAACCTTGCCATAAAATGTTCCATCCATTTGGACATGGTGGTGGTGTCATTGATAAACTATGGAATGACATAACATTAGCAGGTGCTTCACAGACGGCACAACGTGAAATATATGGCCGAATTTGATCACGTTGAACAGGCATCATTGGCATTGGTTCTGTTGTTGATAGATAGTATGTTAAATCATTTGTTTGACCATAGTAGCAAACATTTGTGTGATCACAACGTAAGTATGGCAATGCAGAGAATTTCTGTAGACATGAGCCAGCGGAGCCTATGATAAAGGAAAAACATTGAACTTTGTAGATGAATAAAACGTGCACAATAATTATCATTTACCAAGATCTTGGTGATATCCATGATCGTTTCCTTGCATCATAAGTAAACTGTAGCCGTCCCAGAGTTTGACCATACCAGATGGGCAGTCAGGTACCTGAGAGGATTGTGAGTGACGTACAACCATGAAGCCGGTACGTTGAAGACCTGGACCAGCTGGGCCTGGAGGACCACTTGCACCTGGACAAAGAAAGATCAAGCATGTATTATTGAGAAGTTTCAAGCTTCGTACCTGGTGGACCAGCAATACCGGCAATACCTGGCATACCTGGTGTACCCTAGATAATGAAAAATAAAAAGCTCAGCAAAGACAAAACAAGACATATTTGTTTACTTACACGTTCACCTTTAGGTCCAACATAACCTGGTAAACCTGGTTGACCCGGTTGGCCAGGTGGACCATTGTCTCCTCGTGGACCGGGTTGACCTAATGAATGAAGCAGAGAGTACATGACTGATCAGAGAAACCAGTTTTTATTGACTTACCTGGTGGTCCTTGAAGACCTGGNAAGATGGAGAGAAGAAGTACGAATAAAATGGAAGCATAGTTCAGCCTAAAAAAACCGTATAAGAGAAACATTGTTCTTCATTATGTAATTTAAATAATTCGCTACATATGGTGAATGTTTCCACTCTTCATTTATCTTAACTCTCTATGAGAAAAAGAGATTGATGTTTATGTATGTGTGTTTTCAAGGTAACAGAAGTTATCATTCGCTCTTTTTTCTTTATCCTAATGATGACTAGGAAAGAAACATCGGTAATGATCTATATCCCCAGCGATGAATGATATTTCAGTGAGCAAAGACTTACTTGATGATATGCATGTTTAATGAAATTTAGTATGGCTAATATTGTGCATCTAAATTTTCATGAATCATATAGGAGATGAAAAGAACTGTCTTCTTGGAGTTCTCGACCGCAAGAATATTTGTTTACTATTTATAACAAAAGTGCTAAAGTCTTTTTTTTTCTTATATCGCTATCTGATGGTCCTATCATCAACGACAACGAGCAGAGAAACGTCCTTAGAACCATTGCTGGTTGCTATTGTGGTACCATAATTAATAATTCTCGAATGATATACAGAAGAGAAGGGAAAAGGAAAAAGGAACGGAAGAACTACAAGGAATATATAAGACGTCCGGAGAATTGTACAGAAGGGCGAAAGGAGACAGACAAACGTACAGAAAGAACGGGAAAAGATAAGCTAAAGAATTATTATGTGATCTCAATAATCTATTAGCAAAAGGCTAAGGAGGAGAATTTGCCGAGGACGAACAAGACGATATTACCGCGTATCGTCAACAACAACATCAACTTGGAAAGAAGAAAAAGAAATTCAACTAGTGATAAAGAATACGATGGATAATTAGGAATAGCGACGACTTATTCATCCAGACGAAAGACAAAATCTTTTTCCTACCGCTGCTGCTGCTGCTGTTGTTGTTATTACTATTAGCTTGTCTGATATAAACTTTGTCCTTCTGTTTATATCTTCAATCGTGCTCATGATTGTACTATGTGAAAGATGATCTCTCATACTCTTTCTTGCTCACTTCCTCGTCTTCAACATTTTCATGTATATTAAAAAAAGAAAAAATACGCGTAAATGTCGATGGTAATGAAGTTATTATCATGTTCACATACTCTATTACCGATGTTAGTATTGTCATGCAGTGAGAAAATCAGAATGTACATAGACATGCATGCATAAAGATATTCTTACATATTCTCTAAGTAGAAAATATGAAAATAATGCTCAATGATAATTATCTGTCTGTAATCACATATCGGATAACATCGATGAGAAACAATTGCAAATGATTGATTAATATGAGAATTAAATAGAAAGAATACAGTTCAATATGAAAAGTTCGTCTCCTGAGACTTTGTCCTTAAACTAATAACTGCTATGCATACGGCTGGTTTTGTGGTAGAAAAGATCAAAGAAAAACCTTGAGAACGTACCTTACAGTCCATCGAAGGGACGAATTTGAAAATCGAGTTGATAGTTGCATCTTGAAATTTGTTGCCTAGAGTCACGCGCGTTCTTGCAGCGTCGGCGACGGACAATTAAAAGTTGTGTCCTGTCGTCGTCGTATGGTCTACAATAGGGGAGTAAAGACCGAACGCGAGAAAGCGCAGGAAAAAAATGCCACCGTCGCAGAAACTGGACTATTTTTTTTTTCTTTAGCACAATAATATCAACCAGCTTAGTACAATTATAGAAAAAAAGGGGGGAGAGAGAGAGAGAGAGAGGCAGAGAGAGAAGGAGATGACACTCGAATCCACCAACCAGAAGAACGCGGTTTTTTGTTCTATTCCGGCTGATGAGAGATGAATATCGACTGTGTATAACGGCTTCTGTAGAATATGAAGACTGATAACATACATATTCCTACATATACATAAAACATTTTTCTTCTCTCACATAGAGACATTCGCCCCGCATAATTTGCTAGGATGATTATTATCGTCGAATTTTCTCTTTACCCGATGTTGTTGTCGTCTCCCCTTCCAAAAAAAGGCCAGAGAAAAATAGCAAAAAAAAACGAGAAAAAAGGGGAAAAAAGAAAAAATACATGGTGGAAAACTCGAACTTGCTTTTTCGGGCGGGCTACTGTGCTTTTCTTACTACTCTTATTATTCATATATACAACAACTGAACACATTTTGTTTGTTCGAATAACGTGTCGAAAACAATTTTTATTAGATAACTATCGTTCTCTTGCATTCCTGTGGTAAGATCGCGTTTTTCTCACGATTTTTTCTCGACTATTTTAGATCAAATATCTATTAGAAAAGTTATATTTGTGTGTGTTGGTTAAGTTCGTACTCGCACGCGTGCGATGCTTTCTTCATTAAGGCCGATTACAATCGGACTAGTTTTAACTTTACTAGCTATTGTTCATATTCAAGCTCGAACAGTAAGCAAAATTCCTGAAATTTGATTTCTTTGTCTTATCGTTATATTATTATGATTACTAAAGGCTAAAAATGATAATGATACATCCGATAAACGATTGAAACGACAATACAATCAATATCCTCAACCACCGGCGGATCAATCTTCACAGAATGAGTTCGGTGAAACTTACATTCAAGGTTCTGAATGTAAAGGTTGTGGACCACGACGAGATTGCCAATGTCCTGGCAAAGGTGCAATGGGTATCACTGGTATGTAGCATTTTACTCTGTTTGTCGATAAAAGACTTTGCTTTCTTATGAATAATTTGTTTTGATATCTCTGTTTAGGTCCACAAGGTTTTCCTGGTATTCCTGGCGATCGTGGTCTGAAAGGTCCAATCGGACGAGCAGGTAACATTGGCCTTCCTGGTGAAAAAGGAGACCGTGGTCAATATGGTAACAAAGGAGAACGTGTACGTATGATAATTAATTAGTGATATTTTCCTTTTTTTCTATTATTTGCTTATTTATGTAACGCTCAGGGTGAAGATGGTTTATTGCCTATTGATGGTCAAAATGGTTTTCCTGGTCAGGCAGGTGCTGTCGGTCCGCGCGGTATTCCTGGTGTGCCCGGCTGTAACGGTAGCAAGGTAAATTAGCAGAAAAAAAACATATTAGCGAATATCAAATAGATGAAGCATTTCTGTACGCGTATTTTATCGCATATAGAACTGCATAGTTAATGCTTGATTTTCCTTTGGTCGTTTGTTCTTTTCTCCTTTCTTTCCTTCATTTTCATCGTTTTGATGAGATAAGCACTAACCGCACATAAACCAAGGACGTTGCATTATAAGAGTTATCAACACATAAGGAAAATATTAGCGAATGTCGGCTGTTTTTCTTTTTCTTTCCCCATACAGACAAACAACAAAAAAAGCAAATCAATATCCTTGATAAGAATTATTTGATGTTCGGATAATTAAAAGTCGGAGATATATTTTGTTTGTCACATATTCTGTTCGAAGCTCCAGACATCCTAATTATCTGACTTTGTCGTATATGCTAGACCTTGGATATTTTCTCCATATGGATTGATAAATAAGCATATGAAAACGATGATTACATAAACAAACTGCTATTATTTTTTTCTCTTTATACATTGTCCTTGGTGGTCTATTGCGGTTTAGTGGATTATTCCATGCACAAATACATACATATGCATCATTAGACTGTTATTAGAAAGAAAAAAATGTTCCTACAAACGACAGCTGCGAAGACTTAGTGGCCTCTGATTCATAAAATGATGACACCTACGGGTTTAAGTTAATAGCTTATCTATTGATTAAGTGCTTCGATTTTCACAGCTAATAAATATCCGGAAGAAGTCAGCCGTATGTCGCGATAACGTAAAGTTTGAACAAGACAATTGTATGTCTGGAAAGGTTTCACGAAATTCTTAAAGTGCAAAACAATGCTATCTTATTATCATCTTGGGTAATCGATCTGTCAGTGTCAATGTCTGTCGTCTGTAATTGATAGCATCAGAAGGCGGATGCTATAACTGTACTAAAGGGTTCTGGAGCATATCAACGATGTTTTCTTCGAGATCAAGGTCCAGTTGTCATCCGGAATAAAGATTAATGATTTCAGCTTGTAGATTAGAATAGCGAGTGGGAAGTATTCCCGTATGGCCTGATGTTTCTGACAGTTGCGGAAGTTTGTCTACCAGACACAACTTGACAGGTCTACTGTACAAGAAAAAGATCTTAGATACGCACATAAACTAGAAAATGATATATTGATAGCATTATTCATCGTTTTTTATCAGGAGAGTAGAGAGAAAGTATATGTGTCACGTAATCGCTGATTTGATTATAGGGTGAATCCGGTGAGAATGGTCGCATTGGATTAGATGGTATTCCTGGCTCTCGCGGTTTACCTGGTCGAGATGGTGATCGAGTACGTTTTCAATTTGAATCTCGCTCATCACAATCAAGACTTTTATTAGGGTGAACCAGGTGATTCAGGCGGTTTCAATGGCATTGTACCTGGCCCACGTGGTGATCTCGGTATACCCGGCCGTCCTGGCGTTGCCGTACGTATACATATGACTTGAAGAGCTGCGTATGTCACAACGTATATTTATAGGGTTGGCCTGGTCCTCCAGGTATTCCAGGAGCCCCAGGTGCTCCCGGCTTATCAGGTCTAGATGTACGTATTTATTTTTAATATTTTTCCTCGATGAGACTTCCGGTCTACTTTCACATTCAGGGTGCACCTGGTCTTCGAGGTGATCCAGGTTACCAAGGCTTACCTGGTCAACAAAGCTATGGACTTAAAGGTAACGTATAGCTACCCACAAGATCACATAAATCTAATATTCTTTTATTTTTTCCATTATTTCTCTAGGTGCCCGCGGTGAACCAGGTATGTAGAAAGAAAAGGAAAAGAGTAACACCAGAGTTTTTGTATCCTACGTTTTGTAACATTTAGGCGATGCCGCTCCATCATCAGGCTCGATTTCTTATGGTCGTCTACGAGGTATGAATTACTCCACGTAGTTTTTATCTGAACAGAGGAAGTAACTGATGCCTAGTCGATAACTTCTGAGTAGATTTAAGAAAACATTTCCGTCCCTTCTTGTTTCTTGCCTGTTTGTTCCTATGATATCCTTACTTGGCTTTAATAGATCGGATGTGTGGAAGTAGACCTTGTAAGTATTATAGGCAATAATATCGCTTAACCCTCATCCATGCTTTCTTTTTCTTGGTCACAAGATATAATTCCGAAGCCGAATAATCGGATGAGCATAAACATAGTTCCGTGAAAATCCGATTCGTACAATTAAGATCTAATATAATTTATATTATCTATATGAGCTTTCAGCAACACCGATAAATAAACAGTTATCTCAGCTATGACTACAATATTTTCTTTTCTTTTCGTCAACCCTCATCACTATTAGCTTTAATTATTGTTTGGTCAAGGTCAAGCTTATTGAATCGCATTCTATTGAGGAGAAAATTACTGAGTTGTATTCTACATAGGTCTAACAAACGTACAAGGACCCCCGGGTCAACGCGGCCCGGATGGCGACCGCGGTTATAGAGGAGATCGCGGCCAATCTGGTTATTTGGTAAGTAGATGCTTTCCATAGCTTTTTCTTCGCTTGAATACCAATAATCAATCTTCCATCTTTTAAAGGGTATTGACGGTTTACAAGGACCCAAAGGAGAAAAAGGTGAAGGCGGCTCACAAGGTTCCATGGTAAGTGGATGATATTGGCTTATCATACGTTTATTGTTTTGTTTTCAACGTTTAGGGTAAAATGGGTAAAGAAGGTTCGGCTGGTCCGTATGGTGTAAAAGGAGAAGCAGGTTTGTCATTGAATACCTAGATGCAATTGATATCAATTATGAGTATTTTGATAGGTACACCGGGTCTACCTGGCAATGATGGTCTTCCTGGAGGTATACTTTCAAGAGATGAATCACATCAATTTGTGTTTCAAACCCGTATATGTATCTTGTAGAACCTGGCCGAAATGGATATCCTGGTCCAAAAGGACAACGCGGTGAAAATGGTCCCAACGGTCCAAATGTAAACGACATTGAATTCTTTTTCTTGTTTATTTCTACTTTGCGTATCTTTATCACCTAGACTTATGGCGGCAGACGTGGTCGACCACTACCAGGTCCACCTGGTTTTCCAGTATGACTTTATTTGTTCTATTCTTATTCTATAGTACGAGTTTAGGGCATGACGGGTGATGCTGGTCCAAATGGTTTCCCCGGAGCATCTGGTTTTCCTGGTAAAGATAAATGCAGAAAAAGAGGGATAAGATCATATGGTTGTATTATGTTTAGGCCGAGAAGGTATCAAAGGTGAACGTGGTGATTATGGTAGTCCTGGTGCGCCCGGTCCGATGGGAGAAACAGCTGATGCTGAAAAGGGTGATCGTGGTACTGATGGTAGGTTGTGTTTCTTTTTCTATTCGCTCAGTTAACTTACTGTTGTTCTTTCTAAGGTCTTCCTGGCCCACCTGGCCTACCTGGTCCTGCTGGTAAGATCGAGATTTTGTTTCGTTGAAACAATAAATACTATTTTACTGGTATAGGCTTTCCGGGCGATAAAGGAGCACTTGGTGAAAAGGGTTTCGCTGGTGACGAATCATACGGTACGTTCTTTCTTATGTGTTATCCAGGGACAACACATTGTCTTTTTTCCATCGATTTAGGATCACGCGGTAGCAACGGTCAAATCGGTCGACCCGGATGTGAGTAATTTTAGTTTGACTGATACGATTGACATAAATCAATAAATCTTTTGTTTAGTTCCTGGCTTACCCGGTCCACCTGGTGACATTGGTGAACCAGGTCCACCAGGTAAGATTGTCTCTTCTTCGACTTCTATGTCATAGACACATATTCATCGTTTTAGGTATACCAGCCGAACCAGGCTTCCAAGGTTTTCGAGGTAAATACAATATATTTATTAGTCGAAGAAAAACTGTCATGCAATTGGCATTCTTCTCTATTTAGGATATGGTCCCTCTGGTCCACAAGGGTGAATACTTTTTTCTCTGATTTAAACTGTATTCATCTAACACTCTACGACGGTAATTCTAGATACCCCGGCCGTCCTGGTCTACCCGGCCCGCCCGGCTTTCCTGGTAAGTTTACAATTGAAAATTATTCACACTTAAAAACGTGTTGTTCGCTTCAGGTGTTCGTGGTATTAAGGGTGACTCGGGTAAGTAGAGAGAAACGAAATGAAGAAAGTCTTTCGTTATGGCGATGTAATATTCTAAGGTGAACCTGGTGGCTGCGGATTTTGTCCACCTTCTGTCAGTGGCCTCCAAGGTGATCGCGGTGCTCAAGGTTATCGTGGACGACCAGGTGTAAGTATTCAGGAAATGTTGAGAAACTTCTCATTCACATCCTCTCTATTGATTTTTAGTTGAATGGTGCACCTGGTTTTCGAGGTAATTTTCCTTGAAACAAGTCTAGTCTAGAGTTACATATCTGTAAATTTACTTAGGTGAAAAAGGTGAAGCAGGATTGCCTGGAACTCCTGGAACAGATGGTTTACCTGGCCCAGATGTAAATATATAATTGGCGTCATCAGTACGGATCTATTTGAATCTTTCCACTGTATTTTAGGGTATTCCCGGTCGTGATGGATATCCAGGTATCCCGGGACGTAAAGGTGAAGCTGGTGAAATGATTGGCGCCGATGGTATCAAAGGTAAATATATAGAAGAAAAAAATGAAAGTATCTTCGATTGTCTTTTTCACTGAAAAGGTCGTCGCGGAGCACAAGGTGAACCAGGTGTTAAAGGTTACCGTGGCGATGTCGGTGAAACTGGTAGAAATGGTCGAGATGGGTATGGCTTGATATTGTAGATAAAGAATTTTTAACGTTTTGATTTACTTTTATTTCAGTTATGATGGCCCTCCAGGTGCACCAGGCCCACGAGTATGTTTTACACTTGTAATCGTTTTTGAATACAGTATTTTGTTTGTTTAACTAGGGTCCTTCAGGTGAAATAGGTCGCCCAGGAGCACCAGGTCTTCTTGGACCGAAAGGTAAACTTGAAATTTATACTTTAATTTGCAATGAATTAATAATATATCTGCTCCATAGGTCCACTTGGCCCACCTGGACCTCCCGGTCAAGTTTTCGCACGTGGTCCACGCGGTCCTGAGGGTGAACCAGGTCCACAAGGTAAAACTGGTCGACCTGGTCTTCCTGGATTACCGGGTGATGATGCTCCATGGAGTTACCTTGCTCCAGGTGCACCAGGCTTGAAAGGTCTTCCTGGAGATGTTGGGTATGTTTCCGAATACATCGATAAATAGTCATTCTATTTTATATTCTCTAGTTTTGACGGACTTCCTGGTAAGAAGATCGGAAAAATTGAATGATCATTTGTTACCGAGATTGGTACTTTAAATAGGTGCTCCTGGATTACCGGGACCAAACGGTCTTCCTGGTGCCAATGGTCTTCCTGGTGCTCGAGTAAGACGAACATGATTTTGCACGCGAGATAGCTGATGTATGAATATGTGCTCTCTATTTTAGGGAGAAAATGGTCGCCCTGGAATCCCTGGCCTAGCAGGTTTGTCAAACGATTTTTATTTGAAATGGCTAAAACTGATATTGCTTTTATTTTTAGGCGAAAATGGCATCAAGGGTAAACATAAAATGAATGAGCTGCAAATTCTAGTATCTCTATCGATTTTGCATAGGATACCCCGGTATGGACGGACGACCTGGTATGGAAGGACGGTAAGAAGAATTTTTAGCATTAAAACATGTTTAAACATTTCGAAATATGTGCTAGACCTGGTCTTCCAGGATTGAGCGGACAACCCGGTCTTCCTGGTATTCCTGGAGCTAAAGTAAGTTTCATTAATGGTAACTCATTCAAATACCAATTCATTATCACTGTACATAGGGTCAACCAGGTGAAATGGCTGTTGCTACACGCGCTGGTCCACCGGGCAACCCAGGTCCAAAGGGTGTCGTTGGTGAACGCGGTTCACCTGGCTTCGTAGGTTCACGTACGTTATTGTACTTTTAATTAGTTCTTCCATTTCCAAATAATATGATTATTTTAGGTGGTATTCCTGGTGGTCGTGGCTTACCTGGTAGTCCTGGTACGTAAAGGATAGAATGGTGAATTTTTGTTTGAAAATTCCTTCTTTTAGGTGTCAATGGCCTTCCGGGATCCCCTGGCATGCAAGGTCCTAGGGGAGAACGCGGTATGCAGAGAAAATCATTTCTAAATTATAGACAAATGATGATTGTTGTAGGTGGTGCTGGCCCAGGCTTCTTAGGTGAAACTGGTGTTCCTGGTACGCGAGGTCGACCTGGAGGTACACATACATAATGCAGTTTGTTCTCCTGTATTCCAATGTATTTCTTCTCGTTTAGCTCCTGGCCGAGCTGGAAGTCCAGGTACCTCTGGTGCACCAGGTCTTCGAGGATTACCTGGTGATGCCGTAAGTATCCATGAAACGTATGTACTCGATTCATTTCAAATAATATTTCTAGGGCCGTCCTGGTCAAAATGGATTACCTGGTTTTTCAGGCAAACCAGGCGACCGTACGTTTCAATATCAAAAACAATTTAAATATATGCACATTTTCTTTCCTACAAATTGAATAGGTGGTGACAGTGGAAGCCCTGGATATCCAGGTTTAATGGGAATGAAAGGTGAGTCCTTTTGTATTCTGAATACTCAGATATACAAACATTATTTTGTCTAGGTCGCCCTGGTCTACCTGGTGACTGTAAGTAACAACTTCATTTTTTTCATCTTAACTTCAAATACTACTTAATTTTATTCAGCTGGATTACCTGGCGCTTCCGGTCCAAATGGTTTGCCAGGTGTACCAGGATTAAAAGGTCCTCAAGGTAATTCTTGTTTTCTGTCTGTTGATTTCGACTGACTACGATAATATTTTGCTATATAGGTGATGTCGGAGAACCGGGTATTGGTGGTGGAGTGAGCCCATCAGGTCAAAAAGGAGAAATGGGTGTGTATTTCAAAACATATAAGAAGTCTAAGTGGCAATATTTGGTCTTTCATTCTAGGTGAAGTTGGTTTACCAGGTTTGCCAGGTGCAAAAGGTATTCCTGGTGATCTTGGATCATGTAAGTATAGAGATTATTAACAAGAACGATATACGGCATTTGATGACGTATTTTATTTCCACCATAGCGGGTGATATTGGACCACGAGGTGAAGCTGGGTATGTCTAGCATAGAAGGAACATTGTTAGATGAAAAGTGAACGATATTCATCATTTTCTAGTTTCCCCGGTCTTCCTGGCGCTCCTGGTCTCCCCGGCCGAGATGGTAAGTTGCTCGACTGCTCATCGATGGTTTTTACCAATGCTATTCTTTTCTTCACTAGGTCGTCCTGGCTTCCCTGGTCTGAAAGGTGAAAATGGCGATTGGTTCAAAGGCATATCTGGTATATGAGTAATGAAATTGAAAAACGAATCTACATTTCACATGTATCATAGGCCCACGTGGTGAACCAGGTTTACCTGGTCTTCCCGGTCTTCCCGGTGTCCCAGGTCTCCGAGGAGTTGTAAGTATTTCCTGCTAAACATACTCAATTCTACTTTTAACAGGAGAGATGAAAATAATTGAATGCACTCTTTGTAGCCTGGTTTACCCGGCCCAAGCGGTGGACGTGGAGTACCTGGTATTATTGGATTTCCTGGTATGATACCAATTTATTGAATGCGAATTTCTATCGAACAGTATATGTTCTTGATAGGTCTACCCGGCCTAAGTGGAGCACCCGGTTTACCTGGAATGAAAGGACAATCTGGTCAAAGTGGTTTGTATTTCTATCTCGACAAGAAACGAAGCACTGGTCTTTCCTAAAATTTTAGGTCTTCCTGGAGTTCCCGGACAACTTGGTGATCGAGTAAGTTAACATGCCAAACAAATTAAAGGCGTGGTATGTGATTTTTTTCTTTGTTATCATTAGGGCCTCCCCGGTCGCGCTGGCTTACCTGGCCTTCCTGGAACGAAAGGTCCCATGGGTGAACGTGGTCGAGATGGTGTAGCTACTGAAACAGGTCAGTACTACATAAAATAGTTTTTTTTTTAAAGATTTATTGGAATGGATATTCGTTTAGGACCAAAAGGAGAACAAGGTGATGCTGGTGCGCCAGGAATGCCAGGACTTCCAGGACAAATGGGTGACGCCGGTACGTGACTGCTAATAGATTCTCTATTGTTCTTGTATACGAATGAACTGTTCTATTTCTAGGTCTTCGAGTAAGTTTTCTTTCACATATAAATATGAACGAGATCTTATGTATCGTCGTATGATCACAGGGTATTCCAGGTCCTAATGGCCCGCCCGGGTTACCAGGTATGATACTAAATAGATAAATCATTCGTTCATTATATTCTTTTAAGGTCGTAATGGATACCCTGGCTTACGTGGAGAAAAAGGTTTACCCGGTATTCCAGGCAAAACAGGACGACAAGGTAATAACGCTCTTTCTACACTTAAGAAATTTATCATGTTCTTTTGATCATTCTAGGCTTTCCTGGTCTACAAGGATCTAAAGGAAATGCTGGCATGCCAGGACGTTCAGGTCCTAAAGGTCAACCGGGTGAAGGCGGTATGTATATAGAACAGAACCATTTCGTGTGTCAGTCATCATCATTTCCTATTTTCTTTCGATCTCAGGTGGCATTGTCAATGGTATTCGAGGTGACGCTGGTCGCGATGGTATCCCGGGCCGACAAGGTGCTCGGTCAGTAAATTTTCATCCAACATTCTCGCGTGAAGTAACTTTCTTTTTCTAACCATTTTCAGAGGTGCGCCCGGTGACGCAGGTCAGCCAGGTTTACCAGGCCGTGATGGTATGTTTCTTGTTCTGTTTCTATTAGACTTTTGATTCCTTTTCAATCTAGGTCGTGGAGCGAGTGGTGGACGAGGTGAACAAGGTGACCGTGGCCAAAGCGGTTTACCAGGTCGACCAGGCGCACCCGGACTTCCAGGCAGAGATGGACGATCTAGTATATCTGGCCCGCCAGGTATGGAATGTGATCTTCATCTATTTTAAGATACTTACGTCACATGTAGGTGCACCGGGTCTCGCGGGAATCAATGGTGCCCCTGGTGCCCCAGGACTTCCAGGTCCAAAAGGATTACCGGTAAAGAGATGAAACTGTTAATTACTTCATACACAATATCTGTCTTTAGGGTCAACCAGGCCCATCAGGCAATCCAGGTGCTCCAGGCAGACGAGGTGAACCGGGTACACCAGGTAGATTTTCTCTTTGAGACAATAAACCATGAATGGGTACATTATACATTGTTTGCGTATTTAGGATTTCCTGGCTCCATGGGTCGCAAAGGTGAAAATGGTGATGGTGGTCTTCCAGGCGCTCCAGGTCTTCCAGGTTTACCAGGTCCTAAAGGAGAATCCGTTTATGTCGAAGTAAGATCCTATACTGTTATTTTACTCATGTTTATTGAATTCATGCCCGCTCTCTTTCTCTGATAGCCGCTACCAATAAGAGGTCTTAAAGGTGTGCATGGTGATCAAGGATTACCCGGTAATACAATAAATTAATTATAACCTTCGTTAATATTAACGCTCGATCCATGTTTCTCAGGTTCGCCAGGTTTACCAGGTCAAAGCGGATATCCTGGACAAAAAGGTTATCCAGGTCAAGTTGGTTTAGTTGGACGTCCAGGTAAGTGACTTTGTGACTGCAAAGAGCAGTACACAGACCCAACATTCGTTTTTTTTCCGTCCTCTTCTAGGTAACCCAGGTTCATTAGGTGCTCGCGGTACGGTTGGTGATGTTGGTCTCAATGGAGCGTAAGTTTTATGCTCAATTCTTAATATATACATCAATTTTCTCTTATGTGTAGACCTGGTTTACATGGTACACCCGGCCCACCAGGTATGTCATTTGAATGAAATTACTTTGACATCAAGTATCATTCCGATCTTTATCATGTGAATAGGTATTGCTGGTCCTCGCGGTCCTCAAGGTGATGCTGGCGAAGGCTCATTCATTTTTGCACGGTATTCATTCTGTTTTCCATGTCACAAGATCCCCAATCATTATGTAATTGTTTATTTTAGACATAGTCAAGATACTACTACACCGCAATGTCCACATCGAACACTCAAGTTACAAGATGGTGGCTACTCATTTATGGGTATGCAAGGCGACACATATGCTGCACATCAAGATCTCGGTAAGATTATTTCGAAATCGCCTAATCCAAACTCATGTTTTCCTTTCTTTATTTCAATAGGCTCCTCGGGTAGTTGTTTACGTCGCTTCAGTGCAATGCCATTCTTGTTTTGTGATATTGGTAATGCATGCCATTATGCATCTCGTAATGATTATTCATATTGGTTATCGACAAATGAACCCATGTCTGCCAGTATGTCACCATTTGAAGCACGCGATATACCAAACCATCTCAGTCGTTGCGTTGTTTGCGAATCACCTACACCAGTGTTCGCAATTCACAGTCAATCTCAACGGGTTCCAACGTGTCCCGATGGATACGATCTTTTATGGTCTGGCTACAGTTTTGTCTTTACATCAGCTGATGGCGGCCGGGGTGATCAACAAAGCTTACAATCACCTGGCTCATGTCTCGAGAAATATCACGATCGACCATATTTTCATTGCAAAGATCATTCACACTGCAACTACTATCCAAACATGATGACATTTTACCTTGCTACTCTCGATGATTACACTGGTTTTGAAAAACCCAAAGTCCGCACATTAAAAGCTGGTACACAACGGCAATATGTTAGTCGATGTGCAGTCTGTCACGCAAACTTATTTAAGCAAACAGCAAGTGGACCATCAGCATTTTTCGCCCAAGTGAAGAAACTCTAAAAACCTAAACAAACTATTTGTTTCCATGTGTGTCAATTGGGTATACATGTTATCTTGCACTTTTTTCTCTCTCTCTCTTTAACTTACTGCTCTTTAACAATTTTTTTTTTGAATTTCTGACAATGAGATGAACTCTTCTTTTTTTTTTCTTTCTTTCTTTCTCACTCTTTATATGTATGTCTGACTTATGGTAGATTTAACTTGTGTGTTTGCTATCTTAATTTTTGTCTTCTTTTTTTTTCTTTCTTTGTCGTTTATCTAGTCATTCAAAAATAAACTATTCAAACAACAGAGACACACATATAGAAGAATTCTTTAGTAAATAATTAACACGATAACTGCGCTGCCATGATGTTTTAGAGAAATATGTTAATGTATATTTACTATTTTTTCACCTTCTTCTCGGAAGTACTCGCATGATGATCAGAAATCAACACACATCGCCATTAATTTTCTTGCTTTGTCATTTCAATCGCTCTCCTTTCACTTGTTTTGCGATTATCATAAATAAACTTGCACAGAATTCACATATGTCTGTATCGAAACAAACTTCTTTTTTTCTTCTTTCTCTTTCTTCAAAAACAATCACCATTGATTGAAAATTCACACACACACACATTCGAAAATATGATAGTGATTTCTATCGACATTTCATGTCAATATTGATCATGTTTGTAGACACGATTCCAAAATTCGAGGTGAAATCTTTTAGACTGGCTGTACTGTGTAATCAAAACTGCAATCATCTCGACACTTACGTTTAAGTCGAAAACAAAGCATTCACCTTCTTTTCTTCTTCTTGGTTTTTTTTTCATCTGTTGTCTGAATATGTACGTGCTCACTCTTCAAGATGTCCATTCAATCTTTTTTTTCTCTTCTTTTTAAAAAGAAATGTGAAGTGAGTAAAGAAGAAATAAGAAAGAAATTTGTTGTTGTTTCATTTCAATTTACTCTCCAGTTATTGCTAAATGCGCCTGCAGCTGTTCAACCTTTTTCTTCGCTTCACACACTCTCTCTCACTCACTTTTTTTCTCTTTGTAAGTGACTTTTAAATGCTACTAAGTTACCATAACTATTGATCTTATCATGCGTATCTTATCGCGATCACCACCGGTGTCAACAACATCGATATCTCACTTGGAGAGTAATAGTGAACGAAGTTTTCATACGAATACATCATCAGTAGTTCAACCTGCCGTCGTACCGAAATATTTCAACATTCCCTTCGCGATACGTCATGGTTATTTTCGTTGTGTACGATACTTATTAGAACTTTCCTATGACCCAAACGAACGAGACAACCAATTTCATACATCGTTAATTCTATGTGCGTATATTGAGAATGATCGATGGAGTCTATCACTTGCCCAAAACTTGTTGGAAAAACGAGCGAAAATCGCACTGGCAGATAATGCGAGACGCAATGCGTACGAGGAGTTCGTTAAATTTTTCCGTACATTTTTCCTTATTGTTCTTTCTAGTATGCATCATGCTTGTGCTCTGCAACGAATACATCTTGTTCAACTCTATCTATCCTGCCTAGAATTCGACATACAATCACAAGATTGTGATGGAAATACTTATTTACACTATGCCGCTGTTACTGGTAAGTGAACTTTCTTTTCTCGTGACGCAGTTAACAGTTATGTTTTTGTGTCACAATAGGAAACTGTGAAATTGCTGAATTACTGGTGAGAATAGCAGACAAGATGAACGTTCGACTTGATCAATATGTTAACCGAGAAGGTGAAACTTTTCTTCTTATATTCTATTTTGAATCAAATTCTTCTATGTGTGAAATCTTATTCAGGTTGTTCGGCAGCTGTTCTTGCTCTTAGGTATGGTCATATAGAATGTGCTAATCAAATCACGCATCGTAATTGGGATGAATTTTTTGTCATACCACGTCCTCTTTCAGTCTATGAAAATTCACAAATAAATGAGGATAATAATAATAATAATAGCGATCAAAGCCATAATCCAGTAATTGCAGGGAAACAGAAAAATAAAAGTCGAACGAATTTACGTCCTTCGGCGCCGTCATTTGGACTATTAAAAATTGTTTTTAATGAAACTGACACAACCTACACTCAATTAGCAAACCTTTGTCATAGAGATAAACAAAATCAACAGCGACGTGCACGAAAACAACATTCCGACCAAGACAAATCAATTATGTCGAATGGAACACAACGTTCAAGTGTAGAAACGATTACTACGGAGTTCAGTCCGCGTAAAAAACGTGATCAACGTCGATTATCCGCTAATGCAAATGAGAAAACGAACGATCATACTAGTGGACTACCGCCACGTAGACCATCATCGGTACACAAACGTCGTACTAGTAAAACCACGCAACTTTCTCATGAAAAACTACTCACTCGTATGAAGGCACCGATAATTCATATTCAAGATTTCGATGCATCTGCTAGTTCTGAATCGATTACAATTCTACCTGATTACGACTCTTCTCAAGTACAGACTAATATCGAACGTCCTCAAACGGCTCTTCTCGCTCGGTATAAAACATCAAACGATGTTTCGGATGAGTCATCTCGTCTCTTCACACGAAAGACACAGCCGACTTCAGTTCATAAAAAGGCTAAGAAAAAATCCACGATGATCAGTCGCCCAAAATCAGCTTCATCGGCTACGAAACCTCAACATTCCAATTTAACCTTTGAATCGTCGATCTATTCGAAAACTCTATATTCCGGTCGTCCATTGTCTGCAGCTCTCCAAAATCATCACTGTCGAAGTCCAGTTCAGCAAATAGTCGATCCATCCTGTTCAATCCGCGAAGTTAGAGGTGTAGCAGCTGCCAGTCGATACAACAACCCAATCGAATTATTTGGCATAAAGCCCGAAGATCTTTTCGGTACACCAGATAGTTCATCGAAATGCAACACTCACCGTGATACGCTATTAAAAGATCCTACTATTCAGCAAAAATATGTATATCAACAAGATGTTGATAAATTGGTGAATTTACATGCTATTCAACATACGCCTAGCTATCGGCCATCGGTTATCCATCCAGTCAAGCAGACAGTCACGAAACCGTCAACGAAGCCCAATCGAAGAATCTCGACATCTAAATGTTCAACAAACAGTTCGCGAGCATCGACAACAATCAAACAATCAACATTGGCCGCACTGAATATTACTCGACGATTTACCGAACTACGACGACCAACATTACAAATCGTTCATACATGAAACGTAATTGCTTCGTCATACATGTTATTACAAAAGGAACAATTCATACTTTATGTTCGATAGTCTTTCAATAATAAAATCTCATCAGTCGAAGTACACACTTCAGTTGTATAACCAAACTTTGATTTCACCGTCTGTTGATCTTAATTGTTTCAGTCGACTCGATCGAACACTTGCAATTTCCCTTTATTTCGTGTTCGAAATAAACTTTTCCTGCCCGCAGAGGAAATAGCAATCATCAAAATAACTCGGAAACAGTCCGGGTACATTTTTCATATCGTCGATTTTGAAAAAAGGTCACGTCTAATGACACATATTCTTCTTTTTCTGAATAGAAATCAAATGATAGAAAAATTCGGAACCATTGTCTAGTCGACTAATCCGAGTAAGATCGATAATGGACGTTCGCTTACATATAACGACTGCTGCATGTTATGTAATCGTTGATTCCATTTGCACGAATATGATCTCTGTTTGCTTTTCTTGTTCGATACGAATGTATCGATATTTTCAGGATAATCACACATTTGTTTCATAACATTAATATGTCGTTGCCATTCATGGTCATACTGTTGTTTACTGATGAGTTGTCCGCGGACACGGTGAAGTCGTTGATTTAGGATCTGATTTTCATTGTAGATACGCTGATATTCGTTGACACGTTGTTGAAAACGTTTTTTATTGAATATATCCAAGTTTTGTTTATAAGTATGATTTCTAGTGTCGATCATTGCCTGATTGTTCTTGTTGAATAATCGTTTCGATAACAGTTCATTTTCACGTTGGATGCGATCATAATGAGCGTTTTTATTTAACAAATTTCTTACTTTCGAACGCTCGATTTCTTGCACGTGTTCAGGTGATATATGAGAAAGATTCGAGTGGAATGATTGTTGACGTAGATTGACAATATATTTCGTGTATTCTCGTTCATGAATTTCACGTATTTGACGTTCGTTACGTTTATGCTGAAGAACATCTCGAACGGCGAACGGCATCGTCTCTTTTATTTCTCTCAAATACAATTAATAAAGAAACACAAAACTTCATTTTGCATGTTTTCTTATACTTCTCGGCTAAGTATATTAACTTACAAGAAAGAAAATAGGACCGAACGAACTGCAGAATTTAATTACTGCGAGATTTTCTTTTCATTTTCTCGGATGTAGTTATCTAAGTAACTACGTAAACGTCGAGCATAAAAATCCGTGTAAACGGCTGGCAGTTGCTTATCAAGTTCATGAAGAGATTTTGCTAATTGACCTATTGTACGATTGAACGGAACGAGATCTTTATTGCCATAGAGATCTTTCGGATCGTAGAGATCAATATTTACATGACGCCAGAATACATTCACAGATATTGCGTGCGTAGCTAAGGATTTGATATTATGAAACCACAGTGCTGAAAGAAAAATTGGGCAAATAATCAGAGATTTACAAAGATGTAATTACACAAACCAGGAATAAATAAACAATCGCCTGCTTGTAAAGTACCGGTATAATAGGTTGCCTGACGAACAAGTGGATAGGTTTCGAAATCAGGCTGTTCAATATCATTGACCAACGATTTATCACCATCTATATACAGATAATCAATATCACTTGGCTTAAACATTATCAATCGTTTTGTGCCATGAACTTGGATAAGAATATTATCCATTATATCATAATGGGTCCACAGTTGTGTATTAGCTGAGCCAATACGCAAAACACTGGAGAAAAACTGTTCCGAGGAAAAAAATGGAGGATATTTAATATCACCGGCAATCGACGGAAAGTGTTTTCTAATCAAACGGAATAGATCTTCAATTCCGTTGTAATGCCTATTCTTACTCGATACTCGCAATATCTGTTCGTTGATTATCGCCCAAGGCTCGAAAGTAGTAATGTTCATTAGGTGAAACAAAATATTCGTCATTTGTGGCACGTTCACAACGTTTAACCAGCTTATTGAATGGTAACGTTCTAGTATTACAACTAGAAGAATTCAGCTGATGGTGAAAAACAAACATACTCATAGGTGAAATTCTTTCGAACAAAGTCCATCATTGAATCTTGAGAAACATGTATTCGTACTGGCTTTGAGCCAATCTTATGTTCGAGATAATCGCTCGTCCATTTCGTTTGACACGGGCCAATGTCGTATTTATGTAAAATAAATGGATATCGCTTAAAAGAAAACAAATCGATTGCTTAAAACCGCAAAATACCCATCGAGATTAGATAGAAACATTCTGTTTTGGTAATTTTCTTGTTTTTCTTTTATTCACAACTTAATTATCTCTCGTGATTTGTTTATGAATGTTAATCAAGCTTGAAAGGTCAAAATATATCTGATTACTTTATTCTCATCTTGAATAATATCGATAGCTTCGTCGAGATTGTCTGTTTCGTAGATAGTCGGCATCTACAATCAGGTATGAATATGTTTAGAAGAAAACAAAGAGTACCTTTGGTTGATCCTTTTCATCCAAAGAGGGTTTCTTTTTGTTTTATTACATAGAAGGAAGTAAATGAATTGATTAATATAACACGATTTTCGTGAAAAAGAAAGAGGGAAACGAACGTTATTGAACAAACTAAAAGTGCATTGAGAGAGCAAAGGGAAAGAAATAACATTAACAACGAACAAGAAAGAAAAGTGCAATAGCCAACAACCAAAAAATAGAAACGAAGGATGTGTGTGTGTGAATTAGCACCAACATTGAAATATGTAGCACAAAAGGAAGGAAAAGAAGAAACGATGAACTGAAACGAACTATTCGAACAACACTGTTCTTTCAAAAAAAAGAAAACAAAGAGCGTATTAATGTGTATGGTTAGGACTGTTCCACGAGAATAAAATCCTCCTTTATCACACTCTTCAATTGTCGTTATGTATATACACAAAAACGAAAAATCAATATACACAATTGTATTGATATGCTAGGCCATTGTCTTTCTTAGTGTGTAAAGATCCGATAGAAAAGCGCAGATGAATAGGAGAAAGATTCTATTCAACAACACAGAAAACAAGAAAATAAAAACAAACAATCAAAAAAGGAATGCAAACGATAGTTAATATATGTTTATGTAATTTGCATAGATTTCTTATATTTGTCTTCGTGAAAGGGGCGCTAATATGTACGAGAGAAAAATAAAGAGAAAATTCAAACGAAAGAAAATGCACACAACGATGGTCAAGTGAATATAAACCTGCTCGAACCTAGAGGACGTTATTCTTGTTATTCCAAACGAAGAGAGAAAGAAAGACAAACGGCACTGTATAGGAAAGAACAAGAAAACGAAAGATTCTTTTCCTAAGCCATGGGTCGTCGATGATGAATTTCTTGTAGTGCAGGTATAACATCATCTACATTGGCAAGACGTTCAAAGATGGGGATCAGTGTGAGCAATTCAGTATCGCGTATGTCATCAAACCAACTGCTGACAGGAACCTATTGAAAAGACAAACAAACAAACATATCGTTTCCGATCGTTGACTTTGCTATACGTACAGCATTATCTTGATGAAAGAGATAGGACAAGGGTGAATTATCAATAATGATCACTTTGCGGATATCTCGACCCAATCGACTAAGATCTTTTATATAATTCCCTAAATGGGCGAAGGAAAACAAAATTTCATTAGCTAACTAATTGATTGACACCAGGATTCTTACCATTGTAATATGTACAAGATTCACGAAAGAGTCTCGCATGAAATATACGATTAGGATCAAGTAAATCCGATACAGGATCAGCATACTAAATGACACAAGTGAACGTGATGAATATGAACGAAAACGAAGACGTACTTTAGCCAAACTAGCCGTAAAGAGGATGCATTCATAAAGTTCACCAACACGACGAAGAAATTCATCAACATGTGGCCTTTTGGTAACATATATCTAAAGAAAAACAAGTCGATGTACAAATAAATATGCAATCGGACTCTAAGAACAATGGTCGAGAATCAGTTCTATCCGTTGGAGAGAAAACTCTTCCAGATAACTATCTTCCTACAAACTATTATTAATTGTTGACTTAAATTATTGAGATTAGGCAGTGTCGAGTTTATTGTATGGCACTTCCTTCCTCTAGTCGTGCTTTTCTTTCGCGGAAAAAAGCGTGATAATTGATCTTTTCCGTAGCTTTTGTCTCAAGATAAGACTTACTTGGTGTACTTGCCCGTCGATCTCAACAGGAACGATAAAATCAGCATTCGGAACTGGTCGAAATACCGAATGAACAAGTGTTTCATCGAGATCAATAACTAGACAGATTTTTGCACGCTCATTGTCACGTAATGGTGGTAATAAAGGTTTTTCATGGGCCTAGAATGAAATCAAACAAAACATCGACTCTTTTTCAGTACAAAGGAATAATCAAGTCATTATTTGGTTAGTTTCAATCCCAAGAAGACAATTTTAATTTAGAAAAAAAAAGTTATTTGAATTCAAACGGATCACCGAAATATGATAATACCTCTAACTGTGAGTTAATCTCATGGTTTAATGCAACACGCTGTAAAGAGATGAACAACACAAAAGTAAGAAACAAGAGCTCGACTCTTAGGAATAGTCTGTCAGTATTACCTCTTCGCCAGGAGTATCAGCTGATGAAGTATATTTCGCTTTGGTTGTGCGTGGTCGACATGACCCACCCAAGCAACAGAGTAAGAGAGAGACAATGCGTTGTTTTCGGCTGGAACGATCTAAATGCAGAAAATGTGTATGGAACTTAACTTTTTTCTCAGATGCGATGGTTTACTTTTAGTTGCATTATTCGTCTGAGCATTTGGACTGACAACAGCAACAGTTGGCATTGGTGTTGGGCGATTGAGATCTTCATCTTTTTGTACTTGAGTAATGATCGATGAAAGGTCTAGTTCTTTCGATGTTTTGTTCATTTTTTGTTACAAAGATGTGGTGAAAAGGATGGCAAAGTGGAAAAATTCGTTTCTGTGAGAGAATGAAAAGAGGAGAAATTCGCTTTTGCTGTCACGAGCTAGCCGTTGCTCGTCGGATGATCGAATAAGATTTGACCAAACGACATGAGCTCTTGGAACGATCAAAATTGACAATGATTGTGATATAAGATGCTCTTGTCGTCTTCACAATCTATAAGGAAAAATAAAACTCTAAGTAGCTATTAAGTGACAAGGGTAGATAGAATTTCATTTGTTAGCTGTGTGGATATACTATGTAACCGAGAGAAGTTTTCGCATGCTATGTAATACCTGCCATATTCTATATTTCCCTGCCTCCATTTTATTAGTCAAATAATGAGGTCTCGCTAGCGACATCTATTTGATTTTATAGAACATTAAAGCCTGAAAGAAAAGAATTTATTAAGGATGAAATTTTCAAGAATCTGTTCTTTTTGCGATAGAACCACATTGATTGGAACGACTCTCGAACAACCATCGAACTGGATCAGATGATTAATATGAGTCATTTGTTTGCTTCTTTCTTTCTCCATTTTTCTAAGTGTCAGTGCCGAATAGCTAGCTAGCGCTAGCTTTCCAGCACGTTTATTAATTTATTATAAATCAGTGATAGAAAAAGGACGTCAAACAGAAAAAAATCGCTTCATATGTTTGCGATCGATCTTCTTCTCCTCATCGACCACATAAGGCTGATTGATTGTTTATCTGCATCGTTTTAGATCGATTGTATTATCATTTTTTTCCTCTTCCCTCTGTAGTTTCTTGTTTCAATCGATAATGACAAATCCGAAAAAAGAACTTCATGTTGCATGTAATTATTTATTACGATTAATGAAAGCACATGTTCAATTGTCCAATGAACAAATCAATCTTTTTAAACGTTCCTTTCATGATATTTTATCGAAACGATTTGTTGATCATTGGTTTCCAGGTAGGAGAGAGAAAGCTGATTGTAAACTTCAACATATAACGACATATTCTCGTTTTTCTCTCATTAGCCACTCCACATCGTGGTAGTGCTTATCGATGTCTACAAACGAAACACTGGAAAGATACGGTATTAAGATCAATTGCCGAACGTTCTTGCTTACCACTTCACCGTTATCTACCAGCCGTATTCACCATGTGGATTGGTATGTTCATCGACTTACGGAAATGTTCACGAATTATTCTTTTTTTAATCATTCATTTCTTAGATCCAGGTGAGGTAGCCGTTTGCTTTGGTGACGAAGGTACATGGTGTCCACTGTATAAACATGGCAGCGATGGTCAGGTACATCAAGAATATAGCGATGGAGAAGAAACAGCTTCGTCATTGTCCTCCGATGATGATTTGCATAGTTTAACACAGAATGTCAAAGCACTGAACGTGAATGATGCACATATACCAACAAAAACTACTATTGATCCAACAACTAGTCGTTCTTCATCATCATTAGCGAGTAGTAGTCGAACATCAAGTCCTTTTTTTAATACGGGGTTGATCAATACGCCATCAATGAATGATTACAATTCTTCAGGTTGACTATCGATTTCGTAATAATGTCGTTAATTGCTGTTTTTATTTCATTTCATAGGATCAGATCTCTATTCATATCAATCTGTTTTAAACGATTGGAATGATCAACAGAATCTTTTTTGGCCACAACAACAACAACTGACAATGTCAGATACCTTGTTATTGTATAATCAGCGAGAGAATTTTTAAAACCTAACAAAATAAAAATCACAAATCTTTTCTGTTGTCTACGTGTTGTGATTATGTTTTTTGTCTATATATACATATATATTTATTGAAACATGTGTCCATACATTCATCAGATCTGAGAGAAAATGATTCTCTTTTATAAATATATATATATACATATTGTATGACTGTTGTATCACTCCATCCATCTATCTTTATGTTATATCTTTCTCTTCTTTCTTCTTCCTTTTTTTGTTCATTTTGTCTGTCACAAGAATACACATAGAAAAAAAAACACGTCACCTATTATGCTCTTATTTCCTTTTTCAAGTTTCGACAGACTTATTGGATGATAGAGAAGAGGAAAACAACAACAACAACGAGGGTGTTATTGCATAAATGATGAGTCATCAGAACGAACGAGAACAAACATGTATGTAATGACATCATTTAACCGTAGGAATATGCTTGTACTTACGAAATTTCTCTCGACAATGTATATATAAAGTTTATTTCTTCAGATTTTTTATTATTTTAAAACTAACCTACTTAGGTAACATCATGCCCCAGGAATCCATTGATGGTCCGTCGTCAACTGCTGTCCTAACTCCAGCAGCGTCGGCGTGTCCTTGGAAGAAAACAACGATTGTTCCAACGTGCACATCGTTTCGAGAACTTATGGATAGTGATTTAGCTGAAAAATTACAACGAGAAGAAGATGAAAAATACGCTCACGATATGAGGTAGTGATATTTTGAAAAAGAAACATGAAACTAGCCTTGTTTATTTTAGTCAATATCCCAAAACACCAGTTCAATCAGAAGTATCGATTTCAACTGAGTTTGAAACTGAAAACGAATTTGTGGTTACACCTGAAGCAGACTCCAATGCTGATAGTGATTATCTTGTCGCTTTAATGCTTCAACAGGAGTATACTAATGAATTTAATGGAATGATGAAGAATTATGAATCAGCTATCAATCGAAATAGTAAAGGTAGATAAATTTGAATTGATTTCTCATACACATCAACTAAATGTTGCAATGTTTAGTCAAACTCTCAATGAAAAATTTCATGCTATTACCAGCAGCATCTACGAAACAATCAGCTGTAGATGACGATTATGAGGATACTTTCGAAGACCAAAAAGAAGCTTATAGTGATTGTGAAAAAGGTATTGTTTTTCGCTATTGACCTCGTTCTTCAAAACTCTATTTAAACTTCTTTCTTGCAGATCAACCAATGCCATCATTCAATCGTCGAGGTACAAGTGGTAAAGGTGCAACATTAGTGACCAAACATAATGCTACATTATGTGGTAAACGAAATGTCGCGCGTGTTATGAATACCTTTCCTCCTGAATTCGACACCGGAAATGTTTTAAATGATATGCAACTATCAAATCGTGTTTATAATCAACTTAAACTTCATTCATATGCCGAGGAGAAACGTATGAATCGTTTACATGACAAAGTAGAAAAGGCAACAGCGGTAAGTTTTCATCAGCTCGGTGAAAGTTAAATTAGTATTGTTTGTGTTTGAATAGAGTTTAGCATTCGATCCCAAGACTCGTATTATCTTGTACAAATCTTTGAACTCATGTATTCTCGATGAAATCGGTTCGATTATTGCCACTGGAAAAGAATCGATTGTGCTATATGGTAAAGGTGGAAACAATGAACAACATCCAATGCCACCTGAAGTTGCAGTTAAAGTATGAATTCGCTCGCTTATAATCAATTCACTAATTTGTCTCATTAGATTTTCAAAACAACTTTAAATGAATATCACACACGAGAAAAATACCTACGTGAAGATTTTCGATTTAAGAACCGTTACAAAAGTCTCAACCCACGAAAAATCGTCAAATTATGGGCGGAGAAGGTAAAGCAGTGCTTTCATTCGAATCAGTTAGTTTTAACTTTGCTATGTAGGAAATGTTCAACTTACAACGTCTTCAACGTGCTGGAATTCCATGTCCAACCCCTGTATTGCTTAAAAAACACGTTCTATTTCTCTCATTTATCGGCAAAGATACTGTTCCCGCTCAACGTCTGCGCGATGCTGTTCTCAAACCAGAAGAACTTGCTAGCGCATACAAACAATGTCTAAACGTATGATTTCTTTCATCCTCTCATGAATATTCAATACAAATATTATCTTTTCCTTTTAGCTGTTAAAATCAATCTACCACGATTGCAAATTAATTCATGCCGATTTCAGCGAATATAATCTATTATGGTTCGATGGTACAGTTTATGTTATCGATGTTGCTCAGTCCGTTGAACCTTATCATCCAAATGCTTACGTATATCTACTTCGTGATTGTACGAATGTATCAACGTATTTCAGTCGACGATCACTGAACGAACATGTTCTAACACCTGAGGAGACATTTAACCATGTTACTGGATTAGGGTTTAAACAATCAGGACAAGAGTTTCTCAATGAAGTTCAAACATATGAAAAGAATATCCGTTTACAAAGTGAAGCAGCGAAGGAAAAGGACAATTTTGCATTCAATTATTTCTTCAATCAAACGCGAAAACTAACTGCCGATGATTCGTCATCCGAAGACGAAGATGACGGTGATGACGACGATGAAGATTATAATGATCTACCTACAGATGATGAAGATGCAATGTTATCGAAAAGTCTACCATCGAAACCAATCAAGTCACCAGTACAAAAAGCAAAACCTACAAAGCATTCACCATGATCTACTTGTTTTTTTTTCTGTTTATTTCAACGTGGGTGTGTGGTTATATGTATACATAGTTTTCGTTTAATTTTCTTGTCAAAGATAAAAACAATACACATATAAATTTTCTTTTGATTAATAATCTGAATTGTTTGTTATAGTCTATTGAGCGAAATATTCGAATAGAAATACATTGCGGTGAAGAGAAAAGAGAAAGAAAAACAAATAAACAACAAATAGTATTGGTCTATTCATATCACGAATGAAAGTTAACAGTATATACTTACTTAGCGGAGGTAAATAAAATTGTTATACGTAAAAGATTACCAACTCGATAGGGTACTACAGTGTCTAAATATACTTAAACCATTTTTAAAATTCTAGATTATTTACAGTGCGTTTTTTATTCTAATTTATAAACGAGATTATGTCGGACCAAACCGGATCAGCTGATACATCGAGTTCCTCTGACCTTAAAGCCGGCCATGCTCCAGCTAGTACGTTGTTGTTTTTATTGTGCATTTATACGTTGAAAAACAATTGAATATATCGAAATTTCTCAGATAAAGTTGGTGGCATGCGTGTCGGTGCACCTCGTCCACGTCATACATCACATGGTGAAGAAAAGAGTGCTGGCGACAATGTAGAAAGCGGACAAGAAACAACAGGCGACAATAAAGCTGCTCAAGAAGGTGGTGCTGGCAATACAACCGGAGATGCCAATGATGACCAAGCATCCGGGTAAAAATGTCGATTAGGAAAACGATTGAATTGTATAGTTTCTATTCTAGAGCTGTTGCTAATCGTGCAGCAGGTGAAATGGTTGCTGGCACATTCGTACCAGTATGTAAACAGTTGATAACTCAGATTTCGTTCGATGTGCAGGAAAATGAGACTTTAAGTGAAAGTAGCGTGGGTAGTGGGATAGGATCGAATACCATCTTTCGATATTTACTAAACAAGTCAACTTATCGAGTAACCTGCGAACAAACTGGAACAAGGACGTTTATTTTCATCGAACAGATTTGACACGTTATTCTTTTAGATTAAAGAAGCTTTTCCAACTGAAGCTGTGAAACATATTCATGATAAACCTGGCGTACATCCCAAGCACGATATTCATACTCATGGACGACATGATGATCAACGATTCATAAATCAACCACGTAAACAATAGACAGTTAACTTCTTCCAAACACTACTAAACAACAAGAATAATATAAAGTTAGACGTTTGTGAATTTCAGGTGATGGTTTACGCTTTTCATATTTGATTCTTTTTGTTTTTTGTTGTTGAAAAAAGAACACATCAATAAATATTCAAGCATACTTCCAGTTAAAGAATGTCTGTCTTTATCTTTTCAAGATGTCATTCACAGTTTGTCAAATCTAGGAGTTAAAAAGAACAAGGTAGATAAGTCATGTGTTCCACACGCTTCTTCTTTGCTTTCTTTCTAATCAGTTGCAATAATTCTATTTACATGACGTCAACATACATAACGAATCATGACAGGTAGATGCGAAGTGTAAACTGCTTGGCTTGTTTCTTTTGTTTACCGAAAAGAGAAAAAACCTAGATAGAGGCAGATTTCACTCGAAAAAAAAGATTTTTCACGAATGAAAACGACCAGTTTTTACATGACTAATACTTTGCTTCATCTGATGTACCGATTGTTACTGAGTCTTATTCTTCTAGATGTTATACTTAGAGTTACTTTGAAGAACAATGACTGAAAAACCAAGATCAGTGATGAGAAGAAATCATGGTGAAAAATTATCACCATCATCTCCGCGAGCCACTAGTCCCACACCGTCCACGACTTCGTCGACGTTGACGCAGCAATTTGCAGACATTATACGGCGGTATAATTACTACTGTGAACATATTCAACGCATTCTCAAAGACACAGATAAATCTTATGGTGAAATCAATGATACTCGTGTTCTTTCGTCTGGTATGAGAGTTGCCATCGAAAATCAACATGTATAGCGTGATTTCTTTTTCCAGAAAAAGTTTCGCGAATGCATTTGTCGAAAGCAGATCGGGATTTTTTGGATGCACTCGAAACACGGCCATTAGCACTGATCATATGTTCTCAAACGTATAATGGCAAATCGCGTTTTGTGAACGAGTTGCTAAACGAATCTTTATTACCTGAAGCGCCTGTTATTAATCAATATGATGTGGTGCGAATGGTTCGAATCAAGGTAGAGGTTCGTTAGTGTTTTTATACTTTTTTTTTAGTTCACAAGGCACATGTGAATACTTATCAAAGCTTGATTTAATTATATTTCGTTTAGAATCATCCGGTGCAGGGTGCTAGCTTGAACATATCCGGTTCTTTTGAGATTATTAATCCTGATAATATGTATAAAAATGTCTCCTGGACAACTGTTCCTCGTGATGATCTTGTTGTCAATGGTACCGGTGATCTTCATCCTTTAGCAGAGCATGATGATGAGAATGATCAACAAGAAACGGCATCGCTTGAAATACGTAAACCTTTAGAACTACTCAACGATGATTTACAAATAGTCATTACACCTTCCAATCAAACACTAAATATGAAACAAATCTATACTCAAATAACTGAAAATGTGGTTCCTATATTCATTTATGTGATTGAACAAGATACTTTATCATCAAATGATATTGAAGAATTGAGATTCTTCCGTTCGATTGTACCGAATGAGCCAATCTTATTTATACGAATCGATCAATCTACTAAGTAAAGGAAAACTTTGTCATGTTTCAATTGCATTCTTTGTTTTTCTAGTTCGATGAATGTCGGTGAAACATCATGCGTTCAAATCTTTAGGTAAAACACAATTATTTTTATAAATATGATAAATTTCGATTTTAGACAATTATGTGACCTTGGTTTTCTTTCGATATTGGGTAATACCACTGGTGATATGTCACCAGACACAGCTCCACTCTTTCAAAGCGATATTATCGACAATGGTTTAGTTAACTTCACACATTTCCTAACCTACATACGTAAACACATTGATCGGTTAACCATTCGTGCAGGTAAGGTCGAGTCTACTATTTGTATCGATCTTTATTCTATCGGTACTTCCGATTCTAGTGAGTATTCTTCAACGATCGCATGAGATCTGTTTGGATCTATTTAATGATAGTGCATTCGATATGGCTAGGTGAAATGACCTTCTTTACGGTTTTATTTTACTGAATGAAAAGCCTCTGTTTTTCTAGAGATATTCTCATTACACCGAAGCGATTGAGTTATACGCGTGAAAGAGAAAAGAATCTCTATGAATCACTGATTGCTTTGACAAATTCGAAACAAAATGAAATTCAGAAATTGATTCTGCAAGCTATCAGCGAAATGCACGAAACTCTTGCCGATCAAGCTTGTTCAGTTGACATTCCCGGTATCGAACTAACTGATCAATTAACTGTTAAACATGCGCGAGATTTAAAGAAATGTACGACTTATATCCAAGAATTTATTCTGATCAAATTAAATGAAACGATTGCAAATAAATTACTCGACTCGATCAACATTCTACACGATAATTATGTTGGAACGTTGACACGTTGTCTATTTAGTTTAGAAAATAATGCTAGCGATGCAGATGAATCGGAATTATCAACCAGTAAAGCACTTCAAGAGGTGAACAGACAGAAATATATTGAGATTCTATTTTGCTCATTCGCATAATTTAGATTCTCCATTCAGCGTATGAAGTGAATATAACTTTACCGGCAGACTCAAATCTCTTTCAAATTCTAATTGATAAAATGAAAGAAGTAAAATTCTTCGAATCGATTTCACTTACACTCCTTTTCGATCGATTTAGTTATTTCGAACATTTAGCTGGAGTCAATGTCCACGCATCGATCCTGAATTTAAACGTTCAGTGGCGCTCGATATCTTGAATGGTCTCAGTGAAGTCAAGTAAGATCATCGTTGTTTGATCGATTCCACTTCGGTATGTCTAAATAGATTAGCCAAGAGCGTTTGTACACAATTGAACGATCGCATTCGCATGTCGCATGAGAATTTTGAAACTCTACTCAAACAACTTGAACATCGTCATTCGGATCGATTGAAAACTACTGAGGATAAACAACAACGTGTGAGAAAGGAATACACGCCGAAGATTGCTCGATTGTTGTTGGAAAGTACGTCGTTGAAAGATCTTATTGAGTACGGTCTACCGAAACAAGGACGAGAAGTTGGACGTGGACAATATGGAATCGTTTACGAATGCAAAAGTTGGGCAAATCATCTATCATGTGTTATTAAATCGGTTATGCCACCAGATGACCGTCATTGGAATGATTTAGCTCTAGAATTCCACTACTTAAGGTAGAGAAATGTTGACAGACCTGATCGATTATCGAGAGAAAATTTAATATTATAGGCGAATTCCCGAACATCCACGAATTGTTAAACTAATTGGATCAGTTATCGATTATACAAATCCAGATCAAACGCCCGTTCTCCTAATAATGGAAAGATTAAAGCGTGATTTGTATGCAGCTTTGAAAACTCGACTAGATTTCTCGACTAGGTATTTACGAACAAAGACTGAATATCTTCTGTACAAAAACGTCCTTTCTCTTATAGAATGCGTATTGCATTAGATGTAGTCGAAGGTTTAAGATATCTACACGGCTTAGGTCTAGTGCATCGTGATATAAAATTGAAAAATGTTTTGGTAGGTGCCATATCCATTCGAATCCATCTCTTTCCACGTGTATCATTATTTCAGTTAGATGATGCTAACCGCGTACGTATTACCGATCTTGGTTTCTGTAAACCGGAGGTAATGATGAGTGGTTCTCTCGTCGGAAGTAAGTCAATCTGTTGTCTATCTACCATTTGTAATCCTATTCGATATGTAGCGCCAATTCATATGGCACCCGAGTTGTTTACTTCAAAATATGACCATACGGTTGATGTTTACGCATTCGGTATTCTATTTTGGTACATATGTTCGAATGGTGTGAAATTACCAACGAATTTCGATGTTTGTTCATCAAAAGATATTCTCTGGTCAGCAGTTAAAAAAGGTGTACGACCTGAACGTTTAATGGACTTTAGTGATGAGTGTTGGGAAATCATGACGAAGTGTTGGGATACTCAACCATCACAGCGACCTTATTTGGGTGAAGTTCAAGAGAAAATTGAACAAATTCTGAATAATTCACGAACAACAACTAGTTAAGTTTGACTTCTGTTCCATTCTTTTCCCATTTTCTCTTTGTGTTCGTAAATGAATAATTATTGAAAAAAAACACACGCAGCATCGAAAAATCCACTGTCAGATTTCTTATCTGTTCCTTCTTCTCTATAAATATGTCTAAATTTCTCTTTCATCTATATCATGAATTTCTTGCTTTTATCTAACAGTGAATATTCATGAATCATTTGTTTTTTTCCGCATCGTAGTTACATATACCAGCTGTAAATTTTCTGTGTTGAAGAGGATTATTCTTTATTTGTATTTTTCTTTCTGCTGTCTTCTCTACATCTTTCTCTGGAAAGCGGTAATACAGAACATATGTCGACAAATATAAAGCGAATCAATTTAATTCTATTTCAGATGACAACAGACTCGATTGAATATGAGGGAACCGATCTTGGCGTTGGTGACTTCATTCTTTTGTCAGACATAACCATGGAAACATTTGTTGAAAATCTGAAAATACGGTTCGAATGATGATATGTTCTTTGATCATGTCAATATCTTATTTCCTTCTAGTTTTGAGAAAGGACGCATCTACACATATATCGGCGAAGTTTGTCAATGAAGTCTCATGAAAAACTTCTCTAAATTATAAATTTAGGTTCTTGTCAGTATGAATCCTTATCGCGAATTACCACTCTATAGTCCGGAGTATATACAAAGTTATAAAGGATGTGATATGTTTGAAAGATCTGCACATATATTTGCACTTGCTGAAGCAGCATATCGAACGTTGAAACAATATTCTGCAAGTAGTTGTATCGTGATATCTGGTAAATAGAATTGCTCAATCCAAACGAACTAATGCACTTTGTTTTGCTTTTCGAAATCGATCAGGAGAGTCAGGTTCAGGCAAGACTGAAGCATCGAAAATAATCTTACGGTATATCACAGCAGTAACGAATGTATCAAATCAAACAGAAATTCAGAGGTAATAGAACGAAGATGATTGCTTGTCAATTTACTCCAGTTCGATTAGAATTAGTAACATTTTGATTCAAACGAATGTGATTCTCGAAGCTTTTGGAAATAGTCGAACGAATCGAAATGATAATAGTAGTCGATTTGGTAAATATATGGATTTGAATTTTGATTATAAGTTTGAGCCAATGGGAGGAAAAATACAACATTACTTACTCGAGAAATCACGCGTGGTCAAACAGCAACTCGGCGAAAGAAACTTTCACGCATTCTATCAACTATTGTCAAATGAAGATTCGTTAAAAACTTACGGATTTCGTCTCCAACCTGAAGAGTATCATTACATTAATCAAGGCAATTGTTGTCGGTTAGAAAGAATAGACGATAAGAGAAATTTTGAACAAGTTATAGAAGCATTCCATACGGTTGGCTTTACGGAAGACGAGATCACCACAGTGTGGAAAATTGTAGGAGCGATTATTCATTTGGTAAATCTGATCGAGTGAACATGAGTCGAGTTTAATTTGTAAATATTCTTCAGGGAAATTTAACGTTTGTTGATGTTGATGGTGAACATTGTTCAGTAAAACGAATCGATGATGAAACTGATCCACTTCTATGGATATCGAAACTCTTAGAATGTGAACAATCGGAGATCCTGTCCGCATTAACTTCCCGTGTTGTCGCTGCGCGCAACGAAGTGTTTCAAACGAGACAAAATATAACACGAGCTTGTTACGGACGAGATGCTTTGAGTAAGGTACGTGTACATAATTGAAAAAGCGTAGAATAACACCTTTTATATTCAGATGTTCTTATTCGTACGCGGTAAGATTCGAAGGAAAAAAAATGCATGTTTGCCTCCTCTTCTTCTTTTCACTTTGTATAATGGGCACTAGTAGCGAGTGGGAAAACTTTGTTTTACTATATGAAAACTAATATTAACCTTCAATTGCTTACAGTTGTCATGTTCAATTACTATCGTGTTCTATTTAGGCTTTGTATGAACGTTTATTCGAGTGGTTAGTGAGATACATCAATAAAACTTTATCACAAGTCAGTCAAGAGCAGATTGATTATCCTTTTCGACGAGTATATACTTCAGTGGTGATTGGTATTCTGGATATATACGGTTTTGAAATCTGTGAGAATAATAGGTAAAACCGGTTGGTTCTCGAAGAAGATTTTGCGATTTATTTGTTTTGAATAGTTTCGAACAATTATGTATCAACTATTGCAATGAGAAATTGCAACAATTATTCATTGAACTTGTCCTTAGACAGGAACAAGACGAGTACGAGTGTGAAGACATCACTTGGCAACATGTATGAATCGATTTCTCCAGTTGGACTTCTCAAATATATCGATAAGTTTAGGTGGAATACTTCGATAATAAAATAATATGCGATCTAATCGATCAACCACGCCACAGCATCCTCGCATATCTCGATGAAGCATGTCAAATCGTAGGAACAGTAACAGATGACATGTTCCTCAATTCGATCAATCAAGCATTCAAAACTCATCCTCATTACTCCAGCTGGGAAGTAAGTTTCATACAACAGTCGCAATCGAATTGTCTGTTATTCAATCTGTAAGACTGCACCAAGTGATAAAGCATGGAAGAATATTGATACAAATAAACTTTTCCTCATTCGTCACTACGCAGGTATGAATATCCTTCAACTAACGATCGAATAACATCCAGCTTTTCTAGGTGATGTGATTTATTCTGTCGATGGTTTTCTAGACAAAAACCGGGATCCATTATTCGATGATTTTAAACGGCTATTGTATCATAGCCAAAATCCCATTCTATCTTCCATGTGGCCTGAGGGAGAAAAGAGTATTACATCTATATCACGACGACCACTGACAATAGGAACAGTGTTTCAAAATTCTATGACAAGTCTTTGTAATCTACTTTCCTCAAAAGTATGAAAGAAACATTGTGTTTGTGTCTTCTTATCGTTCGTGTTTAGCAACCATTCTATGTTCGATGCATAAAACCCAACGTGGAAAAATCCGAGGATCTATTCGATCAAACGCTGATCGAGCATCAGATTGCATATTTAGGCTTGCTAGAAAACGTTCGTGTTCGTCGAGCAGGTAGATTTTAATAAAATACAAACGAAAACCACATGATTTGCGCCATTAAGGTTTCTGTCACCGGATTTCTTACGAACGATTTGTTCAACGGTAAAACAATCGGCTTGCCAATCATCCCTGTTGATCATCTATTTTAGTTATAAGATAATCGATTGTGTTCGTTCGAAATTACATCCACATGGACCGTTTACTAGAGAAAGTGCTACTTACATTTGTGAGGAACTTCATATTAACGAAGATGTTGTTTATGGAAATACGAAATTATTCGTTAAACATCCGTTCGTTTGCAAATCGATTTGACAAAAACACGATTTATTCGACTTTATTTGTAGAACTTCACTGTTTCAACTTGAAAGGAAACGAAGAGAAGGTTTAGAGTCGATTATAACTATTTTGCAAAAAGTATGACATATAAATATACCATCTGAATGGTTCCTTTTATTTATTTCAGTCAATCCGTTCATGGAGTCAATGCCGTAGATATCGACGGGAAAATGCAGCAGTTAAAATACAAAGTTTCTATCGAAAATATCGTGCTCGAAGATACATTTTTCAAGTCAATGATACATTCAGGTAATCGTTTTGCACTGCTGTGGGAATGCAATAACAGCTAATTTCTATAGTGACTATCTTGGTAAAATCATCACTTGGCCACCATCAGGATCAAACTTTGCACCGTTAAATGCTGTTCTCAAACGATTCTATCGACGGTAAGAAGTTGTCGTAATTTTACTTTGTTATATATACAAACACTTCAATTAGATGGCGTCTTAATCGAATCAAACTTCTCTTGCCGTTAGCACAACAAGAGGCATTCGATTGTAAACTATTCGCTAGTCAATACCTTCACAACAGATCGTCCTTTTTCGATATAAGTATTTACCAACAATGGAAAGGTGATTATTTACGTTTAGTAAGTTTTTTTTCCGTTTATATATGCGCTATTGTTTATTTGATTGCTTAGCCTGAAGAGAATTCTCGTGTTAGTGAATATCGAAAAGCGCTTCATGAAATACGCGCACGTGATAATTTCAGTCAAGTACTCTTTTCCACACTTGCTATCAAAGTATGTCGAAAATGATGTTAGCGCTTTAGAAAAGAAACCTTCTTCGTCTTCTTCTAGTTAAACAGCCATATGAAAATGGATGAACGTGCCATTATCCTTACAGATAAAGATATTTATCGAGTTGATCCAAAGAAAAATTTTCAGTTCAAAAAGCTCGGTACACCGGTTGATGATATTGTTGGTTTGAGTGTGACACCTGGCAGAGAACAATTAATTGTTGTGCACTTAAGTTCGAACCATGATTTAGTCTTTTATATGCAGACGAAAGTTGATCGAGTAGGAGAATTTGTTGGCCACATCGCAAAATTGAAGAACAAGTATGAAATTTCACTTCCTATTTTTAACCATCCTCTTGAATGTCTTTATTTTAGTTCCAAATTCTTTGTTGATGTTCAACGCTATGTTTCAGCTTACGTTCTCAAATATAAATATGTGATCAATGTTGTATGGGACGATGTGGACAAAGTTGAATTTCGGAAAGGCTCAAACAACAATATTTCTTTGATGATACCAGTTATCATATAGATCAACACTGTACAACAATGACTAATAATCTTGTTCTTGTTTCATCAGTACTTTTTCTTACAATTGCTTTTATTTCGGGTAATAATAAATGAGCTGAAAAAGAGTACAGAACGTTTAAGCAAAGTCAAAAGTAGTATTTTTCGGTCGATCTGAGATATCCAGACGCGATGGATCGTCCACTGATTGTTAAAACTGAGTCGTTAAGTAAAACGCTCTTATGATACATTCGGCCATAGTTGAGTATATGTGAAGTCGACCACGATTTTGTCATAGGATCATATAATTCCGAGACGGTTGGATGTGTTTCATTTGTCCAATCAAAACCACCTGTTGCCAGTGCCTTGCCTGATGGTAAAAGTGTCAACGTAAATAATGCTCGCCGATATTTCATCGATCCTACTAACGTGAATTGGTTGGAGGTAACGTTATAAATTTCTGCACTCGAAAACGACATTGACACACCGTCACCACCGCCAGCAATAAGAACGGTTCCATCATTTAATAAGAGCGCGGAATGATAGGCTCTATACTCGTTCATATTGGTGGCAGTAGCAGTCCAAGTGCCACCAGTATAGAGTTCTGCTTGAGAGATAAGATGGCTTTTAGCGTCGAAACCACCGGTAACAAGCACTGTGGCTTTATCACCGAGTATTGTACTGGTAAACTCCGCACGCGAAGACAACATAGTGCTTGGATTTGTAAACGTGTTTGATGATGGGTTAAAGATTTCTGCAGTGGCAGTGCTTTTACCGCTAGCATTAAACCCACCTGCTATGAGTATTTGCTCGTTACCAAGCAGCACAGCCGTATGTGAATAACGAGGATAGGACATATTTGCAGATAATAAGCTCCACGTTCTTCTTAAACTATCATATACTTCAGCACTTTGACTATACAAAGGATAACGACTACCTGCAGCTAAAGCCCTCGTACCATTTGCAAAAGCAGTAAGAGTGTGATCATATCGAACATATTTCATACTAGGACCAGTAGTCCAGCCAGATGACGAATTATACAATTCAGTCCCCGATGTGACAACGGTTGAATTGATGTAACCACCGGTAACTAAAATGAGTTTATTGAGAAGTAGGACAGTACCAAACTTCGATCTTGGTCGCATAAGCAATGCATCCATGTTCCAATAGGATGGTAAACTTGTTGTCGTTTCTCTCATTATACTACCTGTAATAAACAGAAAGTTGTAGAGATTACATTGCCGCGATTGGCCCAATGCGCAATTCAATCAATATAGTTTCTGTCTACTTTCAAGAACGCGTTGCTACATTTTTAAATACGTTTAACGTAGCTCGCGATTTCGATGAAGAGGATTCGTAACAAAAAAAGTAGTTTCTATTAATTCCTAGTCTCTTGCCAACACTAGTACTTTGTCGTAGTTTATTTTGCAAAGCATAAATTTACTTGAGGAAAATGTTGATGAAATGGTTTCGTCAGTTTCCAAACCTTGATCGGTATCATTTATCCCAGTTGATATTAATATGTCTGAAAAAGAAGATAATCAACAACTAAGTTAAAATCATCGAATACATACTTGTAGTTGGTTGGGTTACTTGATCTAAGAACGAGGAAAAGAACAATCACTCAAACTATCGATGAGGTCCACATACCAGCCTTTGTAGTCGTCGCTATTCCGAACACCTGAGAAGTTGATGATCGAGAATCTTACAGGAAAAAAACAAAAATCGCCACTTCAATTCTCCAGTACAAATATGTATTATACATACTCTCCATTGTTGTAGTCGGAGATTGACCTACAATAAACAATGAGACACATTAATCTTTTAAACAGATGAACGAACTCGATGTTCGAAATGTGAAACTTTGAATTGGATTTTGAGTAGTAGTTATTGGTTTATCTTAATGACAGAAAAATAAATACATGTTGTAAATAATCACACTGATTTCGTTCGAGATAGTTACTAGTTGATATACCCGTTAATGTAGGCATATCTAAATTTATCAAAAGATCATTTTTCTATAGCAAAATGAATATTTCACTGACTGTCAGATGTTCCACTACTAAGTGTTGCTGTTGTATTTGAAAAATTAGTCGTATTCGATTGATTCCTTTTAGCGAGATGCAAAAAATGAGCCAGAAGTGAAATAGTCGTTGCTACTACACTGACCACCACGACACCAATAACTATAAGACGAAGATTCATCGTTCTAAGTCGCTCAAATGAGTACAAAATGAGGAAAATATCGATGTTTTAAGCTAGATGCTCAGCATAACATTTCACCAGATGTTTAATGGAAACTTGCAACTTTAATCATCCAAAAACTTCTTTCATCGCTTAACCGTCTGCCAAAATATTCGTCCTTAAGAGTTTATACACACAAAAACAATCACTCAATGAGTTAGTATGAAATATTTAATATACCGAAACTATTTTCATTACACATATTCTTAGAGTTAGAAACAATGAACAGATGCTCTTACTAAATATTCAATTATAGAAGTAAATCCTTCGTTATCGAGGAAATACCACATATTCGTTCGCGTACTATATTAACTTCTTGAAAAGACAAACATCGTTTTGCTACCGACGGAAATTTGCCTTTGTACATCGATATTTTCGATCAAAGAGATGCTCTTCCGTTGTTGACTTCCTTTGTTTAACATGATTCGTGTTGCAAGGTATCAAATAACTGTTTTCGAACTAGTGTGCATACGGCATTGCTTACAAAATTACATCAGAAAACAGCTCGATAGCATCATTGAACACGTGTCGTTTGCTAAAAGGATAAGACCATTAACAAACAATTAGTTGTCATGAAATCTCTGAACACATTTATCCCAGAACATGATCAAATGAAATAATTAGCTGAAGCGAAAAAGAAAACGAGAAATCTACTTTTATTTATTCGAACAGAAAGAGCAAGAAAGAGACAAAATGATTGAAGAGATAAACGAATTAGTGAGAATTCTACTGTTCAGATGGAATGCATCCAATGATCGTTTTTGAAAAAATCCGGCATTTGATCTTCATATTGTTGCATGATTTTGTAGATACTTTTCTTCCATGATGATTCATGATCTTTTTGCTGTTGAATAGCAACGAAAAATTCGCGTAGTGCTCCTTGTGTTGCTTTCTGAAAACTGATTGGTACCTGATAAGGAAGAAAACGAGACGCAAGACAAGATTCGAATACAACGTTAATCATCAAGTATTGTCTTACATTAATTTGATTCGAACGATTGTAATGAAGATTGAGAACTCGATAGAGTTCACAATTAGGTGTCACGGTTAAATCTTCGGGGTTTCGAAGACCTTCGGCTAAGCATTGTCGCGCATATTTTTCGATTTGTTGATAGAAAAATTCTCTAGAACAACAGGACATACGTAGAAAGGAAATCAATAAAGAAATGAAGTCTCTTACCGAAAATTGGAAAACCATTTCACTAATTGTGCAGTGATGACTTTATTAAAGCGTACATCAGGAAAGTAAGCTTTCAATACTCCGGAATTGGGATATCGAGTGTAGAAGAACATTAGTTTTGCTTTGCGAAGGTGAAGCGAAGTTAACATTGCCATGTATAAAACAAGAAAAAAAGACGGTAAAATGCAGATGTGATCACTTAGAGAAGAAAAGCACGAATGAGCATGAAGAGATTAGAAAGTGAATGAGTTAATGAAGCTAATTTTCATCGAAGATCAAGACGGAAAAGAATACTTATCTGAAATCCATTGTACTCGCTGACGGGTTGATCAGATTTAGTTGGATTATCATCGACTGAACTGATTTCTTCATCAGTTAAATCATCGAAATTCGATTGAGATGTTAGTTTAGTTGTTATCCGTGGGGATAGACGTGTATCAGTAACCTATGCGAAATGAAGATAAAAGAAAAATTCACGTGTATTCGATTTGAACATACTTTTGTACGTCGCTTTTTTGGCGTTGAAAAATGAAATGGATGATCGTCAGTTGATGAGAGAGGAAACCGTGGTAATGATGATGGTGATGAAGGGAAATGATTGATAAAAGAATTGTTGAAAAGAATTTGAGAAAAATATGGATGATGGTGGTGATGATGAACAGTTTGTGGAAATAAGCCTGGTGGAAGTGGCATTGGTGGTGGTGGTGGTAGTGTTAACTGTTTGGATTCGATAGCGGCAGACAAAAGATCTTTTTGGAGACTCTCTGCGAATCGTTCCATGGATATTGGTGATGTGATGTGATTGACACGTGCTAAATCTTGAATGTAATTGAAGAACGGCAGATTCGACGATGAAAAGGGAAATATGGGTGAAGTTGGAATTTGAAGAGATTTCTAAAGATTAATTAGCGAGTAGTTACAAGAGGAAAAGAATTTAGTGTCGAACAATACTTGTTTTTCCATCGATTCATTGATTTCACCCATTTCTTCTTCGTCATCTCGTTCGTCTTCGTTTTCCACATTGTCATCATCATCAACATTATCGTGTTCGGATGTCGATGAAGGTGAAGGTGATGATCGTTCATGATGATGGGAAGTGATTTTCACAAGTTGTTGCGGTTTCGATTGTTTTCTTGAACGTTTGTTTTCATTTTTCATATCATGTTGATCGTCATGACATGGATAAGAACGTTTACGTTGTTGTTCTTGTTGATGCGAATCAGCCGCTGTCGATGATGATGATGTTGGTGAAGATGAACTAACGCTTCCATGCGGCGAAGAATTTAGCGATTGCGATGAACGTTTTTCGATAATTTCTTGTAAGATTTTCGTATGTACAAAAGCCATATCATTGAGATGATTCAAATGCGGATGGAAACGCGAGAGAAGATAAGGAGAAAAGCTTGTAGGGTTATTTGTCGAAGAATTCATTCTTTCACAATTAACTAAACGTGAATAATGTAATATAACATAGAGAAGAAAAAGAGAAAAAAACAGACAAGAATGAATAAATTTATTGTAAAGTAAATCTTTTTACTCTCTTATCTCCGTGAACTTTACTTAAGTTAGAAGCAGCATCTCTACGTGCCGTTTTTCTATGTATTTTTTTTAACATTCACACATCTCTCGAGAGACACTCACCATTTAGCAGTAAATTTATTCTTGACTCGTCCCAATGATCTTTTTTTTCTTCGTCGTCTTGTATTATATGCCGAGAATGATGTCTGAAAGAAAAGAAGAAAATCAACCATTCCGTTGTGTCCTAGTCTCAAAATGCAAGAAAGAGAAAAAAAAGAAGAGGGAAAGCAAAAGATATTTCAACCAATGTCTTTGTTAACGCAAAGAACATTGCAGCTAATAGGAAGCGAGAGAACGATGAACTTAAGACGAATGAAAAATCAGTGTGTCGATGCATCACCTGCTTCGATTCTTTAAGTTAAAGAAGCATCTGCGCATGCGTATGAACACAACGTAAAGATATCGAATTAAAATTATATATATATATATAGCCTCAAGGTCGACATTGTTATTTTAACATCTTTTCGTCATTTGTAGAGCTTAATGATTTGATGATAGACGACGTAATGAATGTGTCAACATATTGAACGCGTGCCTTTCTTTTGATAGAAGATTTTTTCTTCGAGAAAGTAGACAAATAGATGTTTATTCATCTATTGTTAAACAGAATCAACAAGAGAATGCAATGACGCCATTCGGATATCTGAGTAGTAGTCTATCAANTATGGCTTTTGCACATACGAAAATCTTACAAGAAATGATCGAAAAACGTTCATCACAATCGCTAAATTCCTCGCCGCACGGAAGCGTCAGTTCGTCTTGAGCCAATTACAGAAAAGCACCCGCCTCGAGGGTAAGCAACTAACCCATTCAGAAAACATTTTTTCTCTTCACTAAAAGGATTTGATTGAATCGTTGATGAATAGTTGTTCACCTGCAATGGTTTTTCTAACGATAATAAAGAAAAAAGCAGTACACATACACAGCTGGAGAAATGAAATCAAGCATAAATGACGATAATCATCGATCAATTGATTATATTAATGTTTTACATTTTTTTCCCCTACATGCATATATAATCCGACACACTCAGCTGTGTGTCACCAACGAAAGAAAATCTGGTGCTAATTTCTATTGTTACTCCACCCTTGTGATTGTCATCATCGTTTACAGACAATTTGAAATTTTCCATTACATCGATACTGATTCGATTGTGTTATTATGTGCGTGTGTCTCGTCGGTGATGAAATCATTCGTCAAATAGAAAAAGAAGCGGATGAGGGGGAAGAGAAACAAAGTCAATTCTCATCGTTTCGTGTGAGCAGATGCCAGGGAGGTATGTTTTATCTCAAAGAAAATAATCTTCGATATTGATCTGGAGGTGTATGTCTCACGTTCTTTACCTCGAGATTGAGCGAACGTGCATTCAAGTGATCAAACACATGTCAACATAATTCTATTCTTTCTTTTCTCTTGTTAGATATTTCAACAGACATTGTAGCTGAAGAATGTTTCAAATGATGTATTGTCATGCATTGTTGATTTCTCTTTATTTTATTGGCGAAGGAAAAAAAACCTTCGCCTTCTATCATCATTTATTCTAGTCTCGCACAAATGTCATTCTATTATTTCCGTCTCCATCCAATGAAAGAAATATGCTAGCTTACTCTCTTCTCGTGCTACGGAGAAGAACAAGACAAAAAGCGAGAACTTTTGATTAAAAGGAAAAGTTGTCTAATGAACTAGACAAGCAAAAAACACATACATATATATATCTCTTTCCATTTATACACATATAAACACAATGAATGCATAGATCAAGTGTGAAATACATCCGCATTACTAATGACATCCCACCAGCATGCATTGCTCGTTCGAGAGAAAGAGAAGATCATTGGTATAGTTAGAAAATGCAAATTGAGTCGTTCTTTCAAATGAAGACAAGCGTAGCAAATTCGAAATACATGACAAATGGAATGTAAACGAAGGTGCTGATATCCTTTCTCTTGCTCTCTCCCTTCTTCGATTAAGCAACACTAGACATCCATCTGTCGACCAATTAAAAAGATAAGAATACCATAGTATGTAACGATCTTCGGACTGCATATCAATATGTATGCACAATTTTCTCTCACTTATGTGAATACATATCAAAGAACATACGTCGTTCAATATTCTTGACAACAATAAGACTACTGTATCACTCATCATGATGAGGTGTTTGATTGAACATGAACAGCAGCCGATGCCGCTCACTTTTGCTGCCACTTCACTATATGTACATGTGTGTGTGTGACATACTCAATATGCAGAAAAGTATTGCATGTATGTGTCGATGTTTAACTTGATTAGATAGATTCTTCGTTACTTTGATGTGTATGTGTGAGATGGGATAGAGCGATTGTTTCTGTTGTCGTTCATTAAAAAGATCAACCCTACCTGCGTTTGAAATGTATTGCACGTGTGAAAGTTAGTGAACTTTGCATAGAAGATTTGTAATCAATCAATTAATCTTCTTTCAAACATGTTCTTTGATAAGCAACGAGAAGATTCGTTTTTTTTTTGAACATCAATGATAATTAGCGATGAAGAAGATTAACATTTTGTGTTTAATGCAGAGAAGGGAAAAAAGAACAATGTCCTTAAATTTGTTTCAATTAATTGAGAATCAATGTTAACAATTTCATCGAAGAATGCGAGAGAGTATCGAATATTCTCTTTTTAGGTCAAAATTTTCTTATCCCACCCTTCTATGCTCCAGCATTCGAAAAGGATCTCATTGAATTTCAAATCATAAAGATTTATACATAATCAAAATCTTGAGAAGCTTCATATGACTGTCTTTGTTCTTTTGATCATGTCCAACACACAGAAACGAACGTCATAAATTCGTTCTAATTAGCCTCGTACAGCTACGGTCTATTAGACTGCATGTCGCTTGCTCAATTGATTGGAATAGAAATGAAATTCATACGCTCAGTGCAAAAATAAACCAAGAGTATGTTCACCTTGTATTTAGACTAATCTTGCACATCTATGGTTTTGTTTATATTATTACTTGATCAATTCTATCTGTAGACAACAGAGGAAGAAAACGTATAATTGATTAAAATCGTATTAACAAATTCTGAAGGCTGCATCATTGCCATTCATTCGTATATAGTTTCGAAAAGAAAATGATCCATGCTAAAATCTCTTCACCATTGTGTTCTCCATCTCGAAGAAAACGACAAACTAGTAGTGGCAGGTAATATACAGCTCTAAGAAGGCCAATCAACTCATTTGCGATTTGCTTAGAACATGCAGTGGATCAGCAAAGATTCGACAACAAAACGAGGAAACTATTCTATCAGGTTTCACTCAGTGTAGAATATACTCTTTACTGTTGTGCCTTTCTTTCATCTTGAACAGATTCACTTCCCGCTCGACATTCAAGTTTCTACAAACGGGGTAAAGGACACTTAAAGATCGGTCATATTCTGCAAAGAAAGAAAAGCTTGTTGATTGCACCTGATGGTAATTTTCTCCAATTGTTTTTCCTATCAGAGTTTATTGATTATGTTTAGCTTTCATACCAAATTCAAGTTTTCGCGCTGAGCTCAAAAGAAAAGAAATTCAACCGGTGGAAGTCGAAGTTTTTCGATTGCGATTGGTATAAGTTTATCGTTTAAATAATTCGATTTTGCAAAGTATCTCGTTTTAGGATATTTTAAAAAATCTTCAAGTAGGAAGGAAATATTGACGATTGATGAATAGTATTTTCTTCTCAAAGGTGAATGCGGACGATTCCGATGTTCCAGACGATGATGACGACCTCCGTAGGAAAGCTTCAAAATCAAAATCAGCTGATAAAAAGAAACTAAGAGGTTTGACAGTCTACTGTTCATCGCTTTTCTTGAAGCAATTCTTCATTTTCAGGCATATTTGCAACATCTCAGAAAGTAAATTTTCCGTGTCAACCTCAAAATTTTCACCACGGATCAATTTAGGGTCAAAACGGACTGCCATCAGAAGACATGATACATAATAAATATTGGACTAAAGTAGATTTATATCACCAATCGATTGTTCGTTATTTGCATCGTTTGAGTAGGATACAATGCCGGAGCTGTTTAAACAAATGCAAAATGAAGTTTGGTGGAAGCAGACTAACGATGAGAAACCGAATCTTCTTTCGACGTTAATGTACTTGGTAGAAACTATTAAATCCAAACAGATTGAATCTTATGAATCAGCATGTTATTATATCATCGAGATTTTTCGGTAGGACTATCAGTGAGTTTTATTAGTACTCCGCTGACGAGGTTTTTCTTGTATCTTTAAAGAACATATGGTATTGAGTCGTTATTTGTGAATCAAACTTTGAATATTCTTCTTAAACATCTTTCAACGAATGAAAATGATCCATTAAATAGCTGTACGATCCGTACAATTGCTCAGTTTATGATTGAACAGAAAGATATTGTCGTTCAATTAGTTGAATACGCATCGAACCTTCCACCAGTAAAATGATCTTCTGATTTTACCTTTCAAAAATAAAATTTTCATATTTGTATTTCAGAATCACACTCTTCGACAAGAAGTTATCAATGCAATTAAGTTCATAACAGATATCAGTAGTTCAGATGACATCGAGTTAGTTCTTGGCAGTGTGGGTGCTGTTCATGTACGTCACCACCTTTCATTTTGTTGTCGAACAACGAATGATTTTCTTTAAGGATTATCCCGAAGATAATTTCTCTCTCAAAACCATTGTAACAAATCTAGTCAATGCACCCAGAGAAACAGCACCAGCATCCGAAGTAGTAAATGTAGACGATGAAATGGAAGGAATCCATCCATTATTAAAGAAAATTTCAAGAGAAAAATGGTTTCCCAAAGAAAACCTACCAGTCACTGTCGATTATGTACTGGACGCGATCATAACGAAGTTGTCGGATGCGACGAAAGTAATGATCAAAGTGTTGACAACACATTTGGTGCAAATGCATCAGTAAGTGTTCGCCGAATACTGATATTGAATATATGGTTGATACTTTTCAGTGTAATCGGATATTCGAAAGAACAGTTCGATCGAGTTTCGGACACTTTGATATTGTTGCTAGCAAATCCTGAAGCTGACTATCGTTTGATCGCTGCAACAAACCTTGCGAATCTCAAAGCAGAGACTAAATCGATTGATATTGCATTGTTGTACTCATTTGCAAACGATCCTCGAGTAAACTTCTTGTGTCTTTTGTTTTTCTCGCTGACGACATTCAAAATTACATAGATTCTCGTTCGTACTGAATGTTGTGATTCACTGAAAATATTGACAGGAATCAGTTCTGATACTCTCTTAAAAGACTGTGTAGAAGACATTCGATATTTACAGGTATGTATGAGCCAATATCGAACGATGCGGAGAGATGGATCTATATTTCTTCAGACTTTACCGGAAGAAGATTTCACTCTACAAAATTATTTGAGAGAAAAGAATCGTGCACCAACTCCACCGACACATACTGAGGAGGAATTGGCCGTGTCAGATCAAAATGTGAATGTCGATCCAACGGAAGCGAATGAAAATGTAACACCTGTGCGTGTTTCTCGTTCGCCTACTCCAGTAATGATCAATCGACTATCTATACCAATACAGTTGGAATCTATTGCCATGGAAAGTGGAAAGTTATCAAGAGCATCGGACAAACGATTGGATCGACGTGATACTGAAGAGAAGTCGAAGTCAATTTCGTCGCATTCATCAGAAGAACTTCCTCAAAAACGTCAATCACTTATATCAGTAAAAACTCCGATTTCAATTCAAATAACTCCAAAACGGTAATGCACACGGCACTCGTCTTTCCCAAGACATTCATCATCTATTTCAGTTCATCTACTTTATCGCAGACAACGACAGCTTCTCATTCCTATGCTACCCCGAATCGTATGTGTTTAAAACAAGTCTAGAACTTTCGTTTATCTTTGATTCTCTCGGTGTCTTAGATGATGTTCAAGAAAAAGAAAATAATCAGGTTGAAGAAAACTTCGATTCACCTTCTCAAACGACCATCATCAGCGATGCCATTCAAACAATTCTCGAAGAACATAAACGAATCGTTGGTTTCTACCGTATGATTCCAAATCGTCCTATTCTTATTCCACATAAGATCACCATGGATAACATCCTCAGCGATCAATCGCATATAATTATTCGTCACCATTTCTCTCGCTTGCATAAACCTAACCGATACGCATTCCAAGCATCATCAGATCCAATGAATTCGATGAGTTTGTTTGACTTCAATCACAATCAACGTCATTTATATGAAATTGAATCTGTTCAATTACTGTCATCGCTAGTTGTACGTGCTGTGCAAATACATCGTCATCATGATCGATTCATTCCTGGTTCATTTTCGGCCAACTTTCCTAATCTATTAAATGTCACACCAATACGTTTAGTGAATACGTCATCGAAATTACCACCAAATCCACCAGCACAATCCCCATCAAGACAATATACTCACCTACATTCGAAAGTACGAGCGAGGGCAATCAGAGAAGGTACAAACTAACACAATACTTATTTCTAATTTACAACTATTCACATAGGCATCAATATCCAGAGAGCTGAGAATATGCGTGATGTTCTGTCTAATCTTCTGGAAACTGATCCTGAACCGTCAATAGGACATCTTTCAAATTCTAAGCATACTCATATCACGCATGCCTGGCTTCTCAGTCACTGTATGTTTCCATTGTATTGATGTACCTTATTGAGATATTATCATATTATCTAGTACTAAAATCACAAGGCGTTATCTATTCAGACAGCTGCCTGCAAAGAATCATTCATTCTTATCCGAAGTTTCTCCCTTTACTTCACACAAGAATTCCAGATCATCTCATATCTGTTATCTGGAATGATCCCATTCTCAAACATATCGCTTCCATATTCAGACATAAACAAGTAAGATAGTCAGTGCGGCCTTTTCGGATTGACTTAATCCATAAATTTAGAATTCAATAATGGAAGATGGCTCATCAGTTCATATAAGGTGAATTTGTGGTTTTTTTTCTGTCAGAAATGAGAAGAATTGAGTTTTGTTTGATGATTTAGCGATACAAGCTCGTCAATACCGATTACCGAAGATGAATATTCATTGAACAGCTTTGAGTACCTATCACTCATACATCGTGATGATCAGAAGAAGAGATTTTTACCACCCATTCGACCAACCAAAATGTAATTAGTGCATTTTATGATCGATGATATTTGACTAAGATCTCGTATAGGGAATATCCACGTCAACTTCTTAAGGTTGGTTTTGGTGAATTAGAAATCAACTCCACTGTTTCATCAAATGTCACTTTGCCACAAGAAAATAAAGTGAAATCTCGTAAACGTCGAGTTTATATGCATTTCATGGTGAGTGATTTTTTAACCTCAACTAGTATTTTAATGTATCATTATCCATGTTAGACGTCGTCAAACGAGAGTGTGGTAAGTAATTTGAGATAACGTACTATTTACGGATGAAAATGTCTGCTGCATAGTCCGACCACCAAGAGCCTGTCAAAGGTCGATCATTGCAAATGTATAAGGCTGATTATCAAACAATTTCCTACCTTCCAATCGTCTCTCGAGTTCCAACATACAAATGAGAACTATTTTTAACTTTTTCTACAATACGTATATGTACAGAAACTGTTTTAATCATCTGAGAGCGACATCATTCTTACCCTTTCTTATGAAGTTAATTTCAATCGAACAGCGAATCAAAAATATACATCCGTAAAGATGGTATGGTGACGAACGGTTTACCTCTATCATCGCATTTTTTTTTGTTTATTCTACTTTCATATAAATAAATTGCGTCTCCGAATCTCGACTATTACTATTTATAGATTGTAACTGAAGCTCCCCATCGAAATAGTTCACTATGTCGCAAGCTGAATTTGATAAAGCTGCGGAAGAAGTCAAGCAATTAACGAAAAAGCCGTCTGATGATGAATTACTTCAACTTTATGGTCTTTTCAAGCGTGAGTTCAAAAGAGAAAGAATAATTTAAAGATAAATTTTCAAATAATTATTTTTTATAGAAGCAACTGTCGGTGACAACAACACCTCTAAACCAGGCATGTTCGATTTAAAGGGTAAATACAAATGGGAAGCCTGGGACAAAAACAAGGGCACTTCAAAAGAAGATGCTCAAAAGAAATACATCGATTTAGTAAAACAACTTCAAGCGAAACAATAAAACCAGTTTTACTCGATATATTGTGCTGCGTTGTTTTGAACTTTCTCAATAAAACAACATTCGTTTTACAAGACTATTCAGAAAGTTTGAAATGATCATACGATATCAATCACAGATTGATATGGAGTGGATGAGCGATGTTCCCCTCTCGATGATCGATCGAAATAATTTCGAATTTGTTTTTGGCCACAACAGAACAGGTATGGAAGAATTAGGATGAGTAATGGTGAAGTAACGATCAGAAGAAAAATAAGAAGTAAAAACAAACCGATCGTCAGCAGCCGATGAAGGAATAAAGATAAACGAGAGTGGCCGAGTCTAAAAACAAAAAAATCATTTGAAATAGAGCGCAACAGGTCCAGTGACAATTACCGGTTGCGACAAGAACCGCGTTCATAGTGTAAAAGAAAGAAATCGTTCTATTTGTCGTCAGTAAAAGATGTAATTGAGCAATTAGGAAATGAAAATCTTTCATACCTCTAAAGATCTCAAACAGTACCAACAGAAGATGTGTTTACAGATAACGCAGGTTATTTGGGCACAGCCATTGACTCGTTCAAGAAGAACAGAGCATCGTGGACACTGCTTAATATCAGAATGAATCGGATTCGCATAAGAAATTCTGAAATGAACAAATTTTTAGATAACTCAAAATTTGCCAGAAATGCTTCGTATTTACAGTAATCGAGTGCAATCTTCAGTGGAATGCCATTGGCGACGGCATTTCGAGCAGATTGGATTATGGCACTATAACATTGAGATGCATGGCTTTTGAAAACCGTTTGATCGTCTTACTCTCGTGCAAGTGATGGATCGTTGCTTTCGTGCATCAGGTACTGCTAAAATGTGTCCACAATCCATATGTGGACAGAAAAATCGTCGAGGATCTTTAGCTACTTCTAGCGAGATTTAGAATGATTTCATATCGTGATTAAAGCAAATAAATGCAATACCATAATCAAGTAACAGTTTGTTGTAAAGATTAAATTGAGCATTGGTAAGAAAAGAACGAATCTACAAGTAGAATTAAAAATACAATAGCAATTACAAATAACAAGAAATACTTCGTTAGTAGAGAGTGAATCATTACAACCATTAGCCGGACATCGTATTGTTGCTGACCTGAAAAAATCCAAATTAGGAAACTAAATTCGAATTTCTCAAATTATACCCGATGTTTACTTGACTGATAACATACTGACGTACACACTACAATTCTATGAAGTGATAGCTTCTCTCCGAAATACGAGTACTAACCTGTTGACAAAACTGGCAATGACATGATGTTATTCGATAGATTTCGGATTTATTGTCCACATCATTATAGCAGATTGAGCATTGAAACGTGCTTTCGTTCATCGTATTCTTGCCATATTCTATGTAACGTTTAGTTCAACATGTTTATCTCTATCGAAATCATCTATAGAAAAAAGTCGAATGAATTCAATCTCTTCTTAGCATTTCCCTTTGTCCTAATATATTTCGGTTTGAAAGCCCATATACAAAAAAAAGAAAATAAACAATAATCTTTCAATATAAATATATACAACAATAACAACAAATATATTATATAAATGAATATAAAAGCTAAACTAAATCATTTTCCAACTGTAACCGTCTGTCCGTTTTCGATTGGGTCAAAATCTTTTGTATCTGCATCGTTTACTTTGACTGGTTTTTCTTCGGATTCGATTGCAGCACCTGAAACGATCGAATGGTATGCAATAAAGAATCTAAAGTTTCAAAGAGACCGACCTTCATCATTTCGTTTGAGTTTTAATGCGGTGATGCCATTCTAAAAGATGATTCACTTAAAACTAACTTGAGGCTGAAACAACTGCGACTTACTTCTTTTTTAGGCTCCTCAGTAGCCGACTTTTTCTTACGACCTGTTGATTTTTTCTTTGATATGGTTTTTCCTTCATCGGTAGGTTTCATGAGAAAGTTTAAGATTCGCTCGGCTTGTTCAGTATTTCGACCCGTTGACGTCAAACCGAGAAGTCGTAAGATTGAACGTAATTGATCCTTTTTTAATCTGGAATGAACATTAGAAACTCATCGATTCATATCGATTTCATTGAAATTTACTTTGCTAAAGTGCTTATTTGTCTTTGATATTCGTCACTTTCACGTTCGAATGCAAAGCCATTGAATTCGCGGAGATGCTTTCGAATATTTGTTGAATTCTACAACACAAGAATGATGTTACTAAGATCCACAAATTTAGATTCTATTTTTCATACTCCTCGTCGACCAAAACAAATAATTCGCATTCGAGACAATGTTTCACTTGACGCATGACTTATTTGATAGTTAACTAAATCGAAATTCTCGAAAAACATTTGATTCTCTTCGATATTCTACATACTATATTCAATTTCACCTAGTGGTTTACCGTGACCCTGCGTAATACAAAGAAACAGTTGACTGCACAATGGTCTGAACGACATTTACCTGTGGAATAGTTAACTCCTTTTTCGTTGGTGTTAATTTTGCTAATTCAAGGCGTGATGTTGGTTTTCTCGATCGTTTGCCCTCGAGAAGAACCGGTTGTTCGAATAGTGGCTGTGTATCCATTTCTTCATCTTCTGTTGCTGATGTATCGATGATTTTTTCTTTTTCACTTTCAAGGCTCGTGTTTTTATCTTCATCGACTACAAGTCGTAACTCGAAGGAGACATCAGCTGGTGCTTCGTTGTTTTCACTATCGTTTAGTGTCGCTAATGGTTGTTGTTCGGTCGACACTTTTCCCTTAGTGATGAAACAGTAGATGTGAAAGAAAGTTTCTCGTTCTTACCTCGTCTTTGCAAGAAACACCTTTTGTTGTATCGAAATCGTTTTCACTAGTCATGTCTTATCTGAAAATATTTTCGTTCGAATTGAATACGTGTCGATTTCAGTTCAGTTCAGTTTTTTCTTTCTCTTTTTCTTCTCTTCTGTTTTGTAGCAGTAAGAGTGTACCACTATATATCACATAATAGATCGGTTCGATCAGTGCAAATAATAGATAGGGACAAACATACATATTTCGATAACTTCTTCGAATAATCCGACCTGTATGACGTTCATTTTGTCGTAACAATACGTAACTCATTTCTCTGATGATCACTTAAAATTCAAACTCTTTTCATTTCCGTTAAGACTATTGTGCGTACACATAGACGCTACATATGAGTATGAGAACGATTATACAAATTCCATTCTGTACTTCCATCTTCATTGTCGATAGATGTCGCACATGACAAAAGTTGTGTCAATGTTGAAATAAATAACCTTTGATAGAAGCTTGTGACCAGTGAAAATTGATCGTTTTGAATCAGGAAAGAAAATCTGAATACTCTTTTCTTTACCAAACTTCTCAGTTGTTTTTCTCACGATTATTGGTTTGCTTCTTATCGAGAACAACAAAATATTTGTATGTCATTACTAACTAATCGAAATGCCGCTTGCCTTCTCCCATTTGATGTACTGTCGATTGAATTGCGCCAACTTTTCGATTGTAGATCTATCATTCCCGTACCAAAGATCGTTTGCGTAGTATTTTTATATGTAATATAAAATGTCATCAGGATCCAACGATCAATGTGAACACTGTCATAGTGCTTTTTCATTCCTCAAGAAAAAAGTAAGACGAACGAATGGATAATAGCTGATCAGCGTTGAATGATTTTCTTTAGAAAACGTGTGCAATTTGTCGTCAATCTTACTGTTCAAATTGTGCACCACGTGAACGTAATCAAAGCTATCGTGCTTGTCTTATTTGTCAAAAGATATCCAATGAAGCAACAACAGATAGTCAATTACTCGAATTGAAAGTCAAGCATTTACGAAGCTACTTGCAAGCAAAGAACATTGCTCATCACACCTGTACAGAAAAGCAAGAACTAGTCGCTCTAATAACGCGCAATCGAAATGTTCCATTTACGAATTTGTATACTGAAGAAACATCTTCCGAACTAAACAATACAAATCAATCGTCAGCAAATACTCAACAGCCGAAATCTGATAGTAATTCGAAACCTTTTGCGAATTTGCAAAGCTCAGTTTCATCGTTTGCAAATCAAATGAACAGTTTTGCTTCGAACATACAAGACTACGTGACAAACACAGTTTCCGGTGTTCTTAATCCAATTTTGGACGATCCGCTACAACAACCGACTGTAGCGAGTGCTGGTAGGTCTCAGAATGGTGCACCATTCAATTCCAGCTCGGCTACGAGTGGACCATCTCACCATGCACGACCAACGTCTAATAGTGCTACTCATACAACTTCAACTGCATCTGCATCTACATCTAACGTTCGGCAACCAACGGCTAGTTCACATACTGTATGTTTTATTCTTTTATCAATTGACTATCTATGTATTGCGTCGATTTTTAGACAGCTAAACAGCAATCACGTCGTAAATCCCTAAGTGAAATAAAGGATGAAGAAAATATAGAAGATTTAAATATTCGCGACTTGAAAGAAATTCTCGCTGCGAACTTCGTTGATTTCAAAGGATGTGTCGAAAAAGGTGAATTGCTTGATAAAGTTCGACGATTGTATCGTGATAGAGTCAATGAAAAACATAAAGGTAAACCATTCGATTGCTTGTTTCATTCAATCTGTTGAAAGTCAATCTAATTCTGTTTTTTAGCGAAACAACTTGATGATTGTCCCGCTGGTGATAACGAACTATGTAAAATATGTATGGATGCTATCGCGGATTGTGTCTTTTTAGACTGTGGACATATGGTATGTTAATAATCATAAGAAAACAAAGAAGTCTGATTGAACTGTTTAGGTAACATGTGTTAAATGTGGAAAACTACTTGCTGAATGCCCGATATGTCGATCAAATATCGTACGCGTTGTACGTGTTTTCAAATCCTAAATTATATTTTGTGGTGTTTTAGAGTGCTTTTCTGCTCTTTGTTTTTTTTATGTATTTGTATAGATACTTTAAACAAAAGAATACTTTTTATAGAAAATATGACGCATATTATTCTAATGAATATCCATTAAAACACGATGAAAGGTCTTATTCTTTATTAACCTCCAAAGCTATTCTTCTAGCTTGAGCAAATATAGGAACTTTCAATTAAATGACTCATATCGCGTGGCAAAAAAGAACGCACCATGGTAACTTAATAACTGCAAATCGTATACACAATCGATACTCATACATACATGTTAAATAGCTCAAAACGCGCAGGCGGATGTTTTCTTCCTTGTCCGTGAATATTCGTATAAACTATTTACCAATTGAATTTCTATATTCCATTCACACTAGTTAGAAGTTATTCGAGAGTCAGGTTAACAACTGACATATGTTTTACTTGTTATGCTTCGATATGTGAACGTTGATGTCGCTGCATAGTGTGACCTTCTAGTATATTTCGTTCGTTTCTTCACGCGGTCACCGATGTGAACAAAGTTCAACATAAAAAGAAGCACTAGCAATCGATCCGCCTGAGCAACTAACTTTGGCAAAAGTGTAAGTAGAATTAATTGTCGAACAATCCCAAACCATTTCTCGGATCCATCGTTAGAAGCACTTAGCTTCAAGGTTGCACTGATTCACGGTACTCACGAAAGTAAATATGACAGTCGACATCGTTAAAAAATATGTAAATGTACTTTTATGTATTTTTTTTTCTGTCCTACAGGAAGAAAAGTGCTTGCATACAAAATTATACGAAGCATATGTCGTTGTGTGTTAAAAAAGAATGTCATTTACTGAGAAAGATTATCAACGACTAGAAAATGTAGTGTCATATAATGATGTTTCCATTGAGACTTTACAACCAACGTTGGACTCATCGGTGATTGTGAATGACTCATTTCAATCAACTGCATCCAATAAGACATGTTTTTGTTCAACTTTGGTTTTTACAATCAATTTTGTGTCGTCAATTCTCATTATCAATTTATCAAAATGGTAATAAAGCATCACACTATGCTTTTTATTCACACATGATCTCTTTCTTCAGGATTTATGTCAAACATCATTTTCCAAATTTGACATTAACAACGATCAATTTTTTTACCTCATTCGCTCTTCTCTATCTTTGTTTACTAGCCAAACTATTCACTTACAAACGATTGCCAATCATCCGCATGTTGCCTGTTTCAGCATGTTTCGCTGGATTCATTGCTTTTGGAAATCTTTCATTACAATACAACACAGTTGGAACATATCAACTCATTAAATTACAAGTAACACCAAGTATACTTTTCTGACAGACCTTATTTTTCGGAATTCATACGAATACGCATTTTTGTCTTCCTAGCTGTCATGCTTATCAGCTGGTTATATTTTAAATCTCGCTATTCTTTACCAATTGTACTTTCTTTTATGCCAGTTTTGATCGGAACATTGTTCAGTACTTACTATGACTTGCAATTTAATATATTCGGTCTTATATGTAAGGTTGGATTTGGAGTTGTTTTTCCGTTGAATATGCATGGAGTTTCTAGGTGCCGGTGCATCAGTTGTCTTTACTGCTATTAATCAAATTCTTGTTGAACATTATCAAAAAGAATACGATTGTAATTCTTTACAATTATTATTCTATCAAGCACCACTTTCGGGTGTTTTATTATTGACTGTTATCCCATATTTTGAACCGTTAGATAATCTTTCAAGAATAATGCATCCGAACACAATATTACTTGTACTACTCTGTGGTTTCATAGCATTTTTTGTGAATGTTAGTGTGTTTTGGGTGATTGGCAATCTATCTGCTGTTGCGTATAATATGATTGGTCATTCGAAGACTTTATTGATCATATTCATCGGTTCCATTCTGTTTCATGAGCCATTCAATCAACGGCAAATGGCCGGATTAGCGTTTACTATGTGTGGTGTTTTGATGTATTCGTATTTCAAATATGGCCGAGCAGCATCGCCACCATCTCAATAGAATGTGTTTTTTTTCGGATATGTTATGAATAAAATAGGTTTCAAACAGAATATTATCAATGGAACTCATTTTCACTGATTTGTTAGTAATTTGAACTCAAAGACTCTCTCAATCACAAACGAACTTTCATTCAAATATATGATTATTGAGGTGGATAGAAGCTACCAATAGACTTCAAGAGATGGGTATTCACAAATGAAACTCCACAGGTATTAATGAGTTAACCGCGTGTGTCGAATATCAATGAGTAAATCAATCCTTAGAATATTATTTCTGTCGATGGTTTATGTGCAATAGTATCGCATATGCAAAAGTTATGTGTTCAATTTTCTTGAATATAAAAGAAAACGAGATTTAACTTTGATGCAAACTGAAAGATCTTCAAAAACATAGGTATTTGTACGCTTATGATTACTTTTATTTGAATTCATTGTGAGAAGTGTAATATATATGTCTACGCGAATAGCATGATTAAGAAGGTTAAATTTCTACGGGTATATAAGAAGGTGAGAAAAGAAGAACATGAAGACAGATAACAAGATAAAAGATAATCAAACTTGATGTAACCGGTTTCAACTCTGTTTATATACAGTTCTTTTGCGTTTAGGAGACGTATTTACGTGCTTCATTAGCTTGAGCGATCAATCGTCGACGATCTTGTCCATTTTTGACACCATGTCGAACGAAATTTTCGCAGAATTCCTGACGCTCCTAAAAGAAATCAGGTGTTTTTTTTTCAGTCGAGAAGCAATACATATCGTTTGAAAGTCGTTACCTCATTTCCACTGATACATTCGAGAATTGATGCTTCATTTGAGGATGTCGAAGGATGTCCTGCACTACGACACTCACGTACGGTCCATCGCTTGTCATTGTGATCTTTGGTGCCACTATGATCACGAATATTGCCTAGTATGCCATCAGCAAAACCACCTAGAAATAAAATGCCACGTATTGTTAGAAAAAAAGATGTTTTTGTCATAGTCAAACCCACCATAATGCATTGGCATATCAATAGTATAGAAATTGCCATGATTACACATTTTAACTCGAGTAGTATTGGAACATTGAAATTCCTTGATTTCACCTTGATTAGGAATCAATGAATAAACTTTGCCATTGATAAAGCGAAATGAAAATTGAAGGTTAGCAAAATCGTGTGCTAAGAGATAATCGCACGATGGA